TTTAGAGTATTCGATTTAATTGGAGAAGACGATGGGGTATCTTAGAGAACGAAAAAAAACAAAATATATTTCGTTTTATTTTAGATTACTAGAAGAGACCCGTCGATTCCATCGACGGCACATATACCTACGAAGCTGTCAAAGCGCAAGGACAATCCGAGAAGCGTACGGTCGGAAGCGAACAATCACGTGCTCACCAACAAGTAGCTCACGCTGAACTGAGAGCGTGGCCTGCAAGGCTGGAGTCCATCCGGCCAGGAAAGAGCCTCAGAGCTATCTAATTAGCCACACACAGAGCGCCAAGTCTGACCTGTAATGCAATAGTGCCCTATTTTGCTGCCAAGCGAACGTAAGCAATGTTCATGCCCGAGCCGGCAAAAGCTGCAGGACTTCTCGGTAGACAATGTTAGGTGTGTAAATGAAAGCGTCCGCGGTCACACTGAATATCAGAAGCTTCCAATAGCACGTGGAGTCGCGCGCTGGAGCCAATGCGAGACAGCGCCACGTAGAGCTACCCATGAGCGAAGACGGGATTCGGTAGGAAGAGGCCAGCACCTAAACATTCGACAACTGGTCGTGGCTAAGCTAAGCAAGCACGAACAAAGCAAACATGCCCAAAATCAGGTCGGCTGCAGTCAGAAAAACACGGAGAATCCGAGGTGCTAGCGCTGCAAAGTCTAGCCCTGAGCGCGGTTGATAGTCATAATCCAGGCCAATCGCAACGGAAACTGCCGCCGCACCAATTTGACCGGGAGCACATAATCAGAAGGGCTCATTGGGATCCGCGACAAAAATGTACGCTGCCCGGCACAGCGGCCACTCAGCAAGAGCACATCAAGGACGCGCGGAGAGATTTTAATAATCAGAGCGCGTGCGCCGTTGCAAAGCCCTCCCTCGTAGTCGACGTTCCGCAGCAAAACCACGATAGCTCCGCGGCAAAGTCGCAGCGCAGCCGGTGGCAGGCCAGGTAAGTCCAGGGAATTCAGACAATCAACCGGATAGGTCGCATAGTCTTCCCGTGTCCCCCCCTGGATAGTCGTAGCGCAAGGCAATGTGTGAATGCTCTCCGCAGGAAAGCCCGCCAAAACAGCTTCATTCAAGTCACGCACGTGCTCGTTTCGAAGCGTCAAAACCGCTCGCAGAGCGAGCTGCTGCAGATTTTCCTTACAGGGGTCGGCGATGGCACGCTCGGCCGCCGCGATCACGTCGTCGTACACAAGGCGCACAAGCTCCAGGGAAGTGCGGGCGGATGGTGGCAAGGAAAGCTCCGGTGGCAAGCGGATGCAATTCTTGCCGTGTTCAAGGTCGTATGGTGCGCTGCCATCCCCGACGGAGAGGACGAAGTTGCGGAAATTCTCATCCAAAGCGGCACGGATGTTGTCGGTTAACGCATATGCGCGGACCAGCCCGGTCATCCAAACGTTGCTGCGAGTCACACAACTTTGCACGATTTCCGCACGCTCGCCCATCTCGACAACAGGAAGCGTCTGACGCAAGTCACCCCCCAAGACCACAACTTTCCTCCAAAGGGTTGGCTAGATTGGCAAAGATCTCGTAGGCACAGATCAGCAGCATCCAGAGCCGCAGCCGGAGATGTACCTATCTCGTCCCAGAGAATCAGCCGGCTGCTATCCAGACCAAGAACGAAGTCGATGACTTTGCTCCAGCAGCACAACAAATTGCTGACGTCCAGGTGTGTACGGTCGATCTGCGCCCAGTCCGGCACGGCCGCTGGCAGAAGTTTCGCTTCACGGCGCAGCGCAGCGAGAAGCTTGGCCTGCACTGCATGCAGAAGCTGCGGAGGGTGCTGGCAGGGAACCTCCTCCGTTCCTAGCAGCATGGAGCGGCCGTGCAGGAGAGCCACAGCACGACTCGTGCCGCCCACGCGCGGTACCAAAGGGACGGGTGCCCAACGGGACATGAACAGATGTGCTGGACACCAAGGTTCTGCAAGTTCACGGCATCGGTCTGTCAACACGCGCGCGGCGAGGCCAGCTGGCGGCAAGCACGCACTGGCCCGGAAAAGTACGCCTCCTGTGCAACTACCCCCATTCTTCCGCATGAAATCCGACCATATCGTCTCGGCCTGCTTGTAGCCAAGGAGCTTATACGGGCGGAACCCTGCACGGTTCGCCCCCTGCCAAGGGCTTGAAGCAAACGAAGCCCGAGGCTCTCGCAGGCAGCGCGCGTCTGCCTACGCAAGGCTTCCGCACAGCGTCGGCGGTCGACCTGAGCGGGCAAGGGCACGTCCTCTTCAAGAAGCAGATCATCTTGAGCAGCCTCAGCGGGAGCATCCACTTCTGCAGCCAAAGCGTCCGCCTCGAAAAGGCGCTCCTCATGTCGTGGACGGCCAGCCGTCACACCAAAAGCAAAGGGTATATTACGTGCACGCCAGAGCGACGCAACCCACGCAGGGAGCGATGTCAAATCCGCGGAGGCGAGTTCGGAGTGGACCACACGGCACATGCCCAAACCACCCGTCACCATCCCAAACATCGCGGCCACGACGATGGCAGGCATCGACATGTGGGGAAGATGTCCCTCATTGGCCAATAGCGCCAAAAAGCCTGCGGCACAGCAGCGCATGCGTGCGGAGCCACGGTCATGCGCACTTCGCACATTACACAGGCGGAGCGACTGCACAGCCGCCAACATTTGCGGAAAAGACCAAGCGCGAGCATAAGTGCGCGACCGGAAAGCATCCTGCAGCACAGAGACGTCGGCTCCGCGGCGGATGGCCTCCCGGGCAAAGACATAATGGGCCAAGCATAAGCACAGGTCGTCGATGGCCTGCTCGGAGCCAACGAAAAAAGAACGTATGCGCGACGCGTGGCAAGTGCACAACCTCTGCAAAGTGGGCATGGTGAACTCCTGCAGAGGATGAAGGCGACGAAGCTGAAGGGCGTTGCCACCACTGCTGATCATCTGGCACATCTGCTCATACGGTGTGTGATATCCCTGTTTCTTTTTCTGCTCGCCAGCCGCATGGCCGCAGGACGCTTCTTCATCTCGATGCCCTTCAGGCCCAGCGCATCCCGACGGCCCGCGCCCGACACACCATGAGGAGCAACTGCCGGATCAACAGGTTGCAGCGCTTCAAACAGAGAGCAGCACTGCCGCGCCCGGCGGCCCATGGAACCCTGCTTACAAAGTCACAACTTGAAAGACTTTTCCCTGTCCTGACCATGCTGACTCTGGCACATTGCAACATGAAAGCATAAGAATGGCTGAATCACCTGAAAACATGAAACTGCCTTGCGAGGAAAACTTTTTCTAATCTTGCTGGCTCAGGGGCCCAGCTTTTTTCGCAGGTACAGGGTCAAGCGTCCTTGACCCCTTCCCACCTCTGGCAATAGCTTCATTGCGTGCAGTATGCCAAAGGTGCTGCACGCCCCTGCATGAAATCAGAAAGAAATCAAAACGGAGAGCCGAGAAAAACGAAAACCTTCATGGATCCGACGTGAAGTGCAACAAATCGCATGTACAGCAGAATAACACAAACACGTGTTTTGTAGGAGTACCTCCATGGGACATATGCTTGTGCGTCAAGTCCCTTCAGGTCGGGCAGGGTTGAGTGTGGTGGGTCGGGGCTCACGGCCGATGGTGCTGCGGAGACACGCGCTGCAACGTTGTGAGAGACGGACAAGCAAGGCAGCTAACAGCAAGCTCGCCCTGGGTTTGGGTTTAGGGATTAGGGCCTGTGCGTGTCCACGGCGCTACATCAATGAGCACAGCAGCCGGGCCTGCTCTGTACCGCCGGAGCACATGGCGCTTGCGCGTGGCAATCCTCGGGGCAAGCCAAGTGGGTGCGGAGAGACACCACAGTAGACATCTCTTGCTTTCCCTTTCCCTCTCTCGCTCTCTCTTCTTCCTTCCTTCCTTCCGCTCTCTCTTCTCTCACTCGCTCTCTTTTTTCGCGCTCTCTCTCTCTCTCTCTCCATCCTTGCTCCCGGCATGCCTACTTCCACTGTAGCAGAACGGATGGAATGAGGTCTGGGCACCGCGACCTGCCAGGCATCCCAGACTCGGAAGGATGACATGAAGACCTGCAAGCATTGCAGCTTTGTCGCGACTAACTCGAGCAACATGTAGCATCAGCGAAAAGAAACTCGACAACTTGGGCGGAAGGCCCACAGCACACAGCCGCTGGCGAAGAGCTACAGCATGGTGACTGAAGCTGACCCCACTTGAGCAGCTTGAGCAGCTGGCAGGCAGCGACCGTCAGCTCAACTTCCCTGTAGCAGGAGCTCTCTTGCAGACCTTCTCTGTTGCGTTGGAACCTTAAAATCCCTGTAGCAAGAGCTCTCTTGCAGACCTTCTCTGTTACGTTGGAACCTTAAAATCCAACCCGGCAAGCCCAAACCTCAATCCGGACAATTCCTAAAATTCCGGGAATTTTCAGCTCCGGGTGATTCCCAAAACTCCCAGGATTTTTAGACAAAAAGTGTTAAAATTCCCGGAATTTTCAGGATCCCCCTGCAAGGCCCTCACAAGCAGCCAAGTGGACCGGAAGAGGAGGCGGGGCATCCGACAGGGCGGCCGCAGAGCGAAAATAGGGGTCGAGCCCGTAGCCTTTTATGGGGATATTTCCTCGATTTCATATTTCTATATTGCTTTTTGGAATAGATATCTCTGGTAGTATAGACCTTCTCGAAAGTATTGAATATAAATAAGAATTCTACTTGTAACATAGGATAATACCCTAGGATGCCTCCCAACCCCTTTCTAGGACCCCTGCTGCCGAGGCGGCACGCGCTAGCGTTTATAATTAATCTCTGCCTTTGGCGCAGCAAGGCTTTGGAGGTGTTGCCCAACGCTCAAGCACGAAATCTCAGAGTTGCGCACAATGGCCTTGCACAGGCGCCGGCGTTTTGTCATGTTCGTCTTGACACGATCCCACACTAATTCGTCTGGCTCCGGCTTGGAAGCCCTCAAAATCAGAATTGCCCAAGATTACAAGGTGTGCCTGTGACCCCTTGCTGGAAAATCGGGATGGCAGCCTAGGCAGGACACTTTGACAAGCATTCTAACTTTGCTTCCTCACAATGCTTCATCTTGAAAGTTGTGCAGAAGATCCCAAAATCGTTGCATTTCTTCTGGCATTCTTCCCTGGAATCCTGGTACTCGGTGAAGAAGCACGAGATCATGCAAAGTCCTGCTTCGTGGCCGCATGAACATTCCGGCTTGTTGTGCGAATTGCAGGCGCGGAAGAAGTCGGAGCAATCAAGGTGGCAAGGGCGATAGGGTTGATATACCGATCCAGGCTTCGGATTCAAGGGGCAGCCAGCTTTGGTTCCATTGAAGCTGTCAATCTTCGAATTGCCTTCTTGCATGCGTGCCTCAATGATTGCTGCGAGGCTGATGTCACTGGTATTGCTCTCGTTCTTTGCCATATCTGCCTTCTTGGGTAAGAAGCGGCTATTGGAGCCACTTTCGCCATGGGCTGTAACAAGCGCCAGAAGAAAGAGCTTCATGGTCGCCGTGATCCGCGAATGCGGTGCAAAGTATAACCAAAAATGCATTAAAAGATAGCCAAAAGAAGCTTTGAGCCGAAGGTGTGGCCTTTCAGTTCTCCAGAAGAATCAGTTGGGAACTTCGAATCTATATGGATTGCGGCATGCTGGCGACATCTGTCACTGCTACGCAGAACAACATGCTTGAGAACTATCCTGTCCCCTTAGTCCCTTTGTTACGATGATGCGCTCGTTGAACAAAAAAGCTGACTCATGGTTATTGAGGATTCAAGGACGATCTTTCTCCCGATTACTGCATTGCAAAGGCACAATCTGTAGAACTTGCCGCATGTTGTTGTTTCAGAATCGGACAGATTTTCGCACTGGGCAGTTGCGTCGGATCTTAAAACACACATTGGCCCACAGTCTCTGACAGTGCCCTTTGCCCTCTCTCCACGAAGGTGGCCAACGCTGCAGGGTTTGACATGAACACCGACAAATCCCCTGGTCTATGAGATCTGAAAGCGAGCGCTCGCTTGCGAGTTTCTGCTATCTGAAGGCCTAGGAAGCCCAGCAACCCCGACAACTTGTCTGCCGGAAAAGTATGCAACATCTTGAATTATTAAAAGTCAGATGGGGTTGGTCAAAATTGTGGGCCCTTTTGCTACCCGAAACTCTCAGGAAGATACTACAATCAAGGACCCATAAAAAATTTCGACCCACCCACAGATCAAAAAGTTAGGGATTGTCTTTGCATACCAAGGTCGTGTCGACATGTGCATGTGCACGAAGGCCACCTGACCCAGCATTCTGCTTCTGAGAATGTGGCTTTGCAAAGTAGTTGAAAGCTGTTGCTGTCGCTGGACATGGAGCGTCTGCACTAACATGGACAGTCCAGAGAGCCATATCCTAGTTTCTCCAAATGGCATGAAGAAATCTGGCCAGCATCGTTGGATTGGAAAAATCTGGGTCGGTTGACATTTCCGTGCGCGATGGCTCTGTTTCCTCAGGCGATGCCTCTGTTTCCTGAGGCCAAGATTGAGAGAGATCCTGTTGGAGTTGCGCAAAATCTTCTTTGAAGCGCGTCTCCGTTTGCTGAAGCGCGCTCTTGACTGCGTCGATGAGAAAGGCATTCACCTTGGAAGAAATGCGGTCGGCACTTTGTTGTGTGTGGGGTTGGGGCGGAGGGGGGGGACGAGGGCAAGCTGAATAACTACACAATGACGCCTTACCCAACAAGCAAATTTACACAGAACTTTCAAAAGTCAGCATCGACGCACTGAAACCCGCGCAAACTGCACACACACACACACACACCCGACCCCGACCTATAGTACTAGAAGATCACGAACGTCAAGTATGGAAGAGGTGGCACCCTGTAGTCTACAGTATAGGCAATGCAAGGATCCACGTCCAATACACCAAGTCACAGCCTGAAAACCTCCCGGATGACTAGACACAGCCGCATCAATCATGCGCTTGTCCTTGTCGCAGCTGGCCGTTGCATCTTGCAAACGGAGGGTGGAAAGGGTCTTGCAAAGCTTCAGGGCCACATCCAAGCTGCTCTGGCCGTAGTTCATCACGCCAGTGGAAGTTCCCAGCAGAATTCCTTGAAACGGCCCGCCTGATTCGTAAAGTAGCGCTGATTGGTATAGTTCAAAAAGGCACCAGGACCTGCAAAAACACCATCAATGTGTTGGTTTGAAGGAACATCTGAGCAAAGGATGTTGTAACCTGCTTGCAACGTTCCTGATTTATCAAACCATAGGTTTTCCCATCGTCATGTGTTCTGCAGCACCCAGCCTTGTAAGGGGCAAAGCTTTCTCGTCCAACACGAAGAGCGTGCCACAGCAGGTGCTCCCGTGCAACGCCAAATAAAACGACGAATCTTCAACTTGACTCCCCAACTCCTCTGCCACTTTCCACTGGTTGTTTGAAAAGGTGCAGATCCAGTAGCAAGTCATCTCATTGGCAGCATGTCCCTTCAGGCAGTCTATGAAATGTAAGAAGGGCATCCCCCAGAAGTGGGAACAAAACCACTGCACGGAAGATGGGCCCACCAGCTCCGCATAAGAAAGCTTGTCCGCGAATGTCAATGGCTTCACAATGTTGCTGCACAGGTAGTACATATTTCTGTCACGAATGTAAAGGCTGAAGAATTCCTGGGCAGGTGCTAATCTTGCCATGTCACGAGAAGCTACAAACTGCTTACTACTCAAAAATGTCAAAAGGACCTCCTGAGAAATCCTGGAGATACAAGATTACAGCGCTTGCGCAGCCGAGCATCATAGAGATCTTGCAGCTGGCCCAAGCGAAGTGCCCGGTCCGGGCCCCTCTGGCACATTGCAGGATGAACTTGTGGCTTCAGTCGGGCAGCGAACCGGTCTAAATCTCGGAGGATGGAGCGTTTGCCGGGATGAATCCACCAATGAACGACCGCAGCCACCAACCCACCTGCTAGGATCATGAGGGCCTCCAGGCCAGAAATCCCAGAGTTTGAGAAGACTGCATGTACCAAGAGAAAAGCTGCCATCATAGCAGACATGAGCAAGACAAAGCAAAGGGAAAAGGGGGTGTTGAGAATTCCTTTCCTGAAGAGACCGTCGATCCAACGAAGATCACACAAGCCCTGGGAAGTGTCGACCTGGATGGCCAATGGTACACCAAGTAGGTCACAAAGAACAAGCTGGCGCTCATTGTGAGGCTTAGCCAAAAACTTCTGAGAGTCCAACATTGGGTGCCCGGTGTCTCTGAAAGTGACGCTGCATGTCTTCAGAAGCCAGTGACGCCCGCAGATGCTCAAAAGAACTTTGCCATCTTTCAGACACGCATCATCTATGGTCATAGGGCGATTGGCCAGGTGAGGAAGCACAGCACAAAGCACAGAGGAGAGCAACAGGAAAACAGCGCATGTGGACACATTGAGGAAGGACGCGCTGCAGGCGGTTTTGTCCGCGTTGGCCTGGGAGCGCCACCATTTGCCTTCGCAAGGTAGGCACCGGCTACTTCCTGCTGTAGGGGCATATGTGTTCCCGGTGCAGAGGTTGCAATAGCCCTGAAGTCCAGTGTCTGCAACAAAGGAGCCTGGCATGCAAGGCTCGCACTGCCAAAGGGAGCCCTGCACGTATTTCTGCCCCGGCCTGCACAAACCCGTTTCACACCTCTCACCACTGAACGGGGACCCACATTCGCAAATGCCATCACCGTGGTAGTGGTAGAGCGACCTGTTTTTAGAGATGGTGAGTTGTTCCCGCACGCGTGCGTCATCGTTACAGGTCCCCCGTCCAGAGCATGGCACAGAATCAGGCACGCCCGGGCAGGCAGAGCAGCGTCGAAAAAAATTCTTTGCCGGAGCTGAAACATTGAGCTTGTCAGCATCAAAGTAACCTTTGCTGCAACCTGAACAATCAACCAAGGCATAGGCAGAGAAGCATCGGCACTTCCCTGAGACTGGGCTGCAGGCTCCGTGGCTGCCGCATGCTTCCTGCAGTGGACAATAGCCATTGTCAAAATGACGAACAGGGCCATGGTCCCTGGAATCCTGGGCTGTTATCAGGTCCAGGTCACCATCTGAATCCCAATCGGCAAAAAAGAAGGAAGAAACAGGCCAGTTCCCCAATTCTGGCATCTTCGGCAAGAACAATGTTGCATTTGCTTCCACTAATCGAAAATCTGCTTGCGCATGGAAGAAACGCCATTCACAATTGTCCGTCATGACCAAGTCGTTTCTTCCGTCCGAATCGAGATCAATCGCTTGCAAGCGAACAGTTTGAAGGTGATATTTGAGATCATGCAGGTCACTCACAGGGGAGGAGCCCTCAACCAACGAACCATCAGGCAGTTGCTGATAGAGCTGCCATTGCACCTTGGATTTAAAAACGTTATCACTACAGGCGAAGAGGATGTCCAAATCACCATCTCCATCCCAATCTGCAACAACAGCTGCAAAGAAGTACCCTCGAGTTGGCCTGACCTTGAATTTGTACTGCAAGCCCCCACGGGCCGTACGCTCGAAGTACACCAAATCGGTCTCCTCCTCTTCTGCCTTAGTGGAAGGAACAAGTAAATCAGCTCGTCCATCCCCGTTCCAATCTATCGCGATCGGCCTCGCTGAGTCCTGTGGCAGGTTCGCTGTCATGCGCGCATGCTGCTGCACTGACAATACTTCTTCTCCTTCTTCAAGACTGCCATCATCTTTGCGCAGAAAGACTTCAACATGACCATATTTGGAACCAAGGATGAAGTCGAGATCACCATCCCCGTCCCAGTCGATGACCGCAGGGTGCGCCATGTTGCGCACAATGTGGAACACAGAGATGTCATTGGTTCTTTCGACCAACTCCCCAGTGAATTGCCACGAGAACAAGTGTACCGTCCCTTTCCTGGTGGCAAGGATGATGTCCAGCGCCCCATCCCCATCCCAATCAGCCACGGCGGCCACCGGATTTTCGACTTCCCAACCGCCGATGTCTGACAAGGGGCTCGCGGCGGTCTGGCTCCAATCTTCAAAATTCCCATCAGCTGCTTGGTGGAGGTAGGCAGCTATGGGAGGGAAGCAAGCTAGCTCGCATTCTCTCGTCAAAATCACATCTGAAGCTCCATCACCATCCCAGTCAGCCACTGCCAAGCTCAATACTTCTGCAGCGCCCCGCCTCCAAGGCTCGAATCCTGCCAGGGGACTCCCCACCTTCATCAGCGTGGATTGGTTCTTGCGCTCGAAAAACACAAACTCGTTTTCGTGGCGTCCATTCACACCATCCACCGCCCACAGGTCAAGGTCCCCATCAGTGTCCCAATCGCTTGGGAAAAAGATGAAGCGCCCCTGGCGTGCTAGCGACAGGGGTTGGCCCTGTTCATCAACTGCCAGGATTGCCGAGTTGTTGCGGATCTTGCCCATTGCGTCAAAGTCAACAAACCAGACACCCGAATCATCTTGCAGCAACAAATCCAGATCGCCGTCTCCATCCCAGTCTGTGACTGCAAAACAAGGTGCCGGATACATATAACTGTTGTAAGTTGGAAATGACACCTCTCTGAAGGGGTTGTCTGAGCCGACTTGCTCGACCAGTTCCCCACTCACCTGCCGAAAGTATTTCAAGTGACATAAGGTAAGCCTCTCACTATCGGGCGCCGCGTCCCTCACTAGGAGCAGCAGTTCCATTTGACCATCTCCATCCCAATCAACCACCTGTGGCCATGCGGCTCCTCTGTCTGATTCCAATGAAAGCAGCAGGGCTTGACTCCTTTCCTGCAGATTGCCCTCGCAAAAGCCTGCCTTGGGTCGACACACTGCAGCTGTGGACGGGCAAACCAGGATCAGCCATGCTGCGATGGTTTTCATAGCATAGGGCAGGCTTTTGTGGAAAGAGTCAGAAAACTTGAGCCAAATGAGGCAGGAGGGTTCCTCAGCATGAACTTGGTACCAGCTGTTTCTGACCACTTGCTTGCTTGCGCACTCCTCAGGGCAACCGTCCTCGTCAAGCAGGTCTCTGGTACCTAAATGGTACCTAAATGTGTACGAACGTATGCAGGAATGAACGTATGCAGTAGTTACGGTGACGCTCAGCTGTGCTGCCGCTTGCTTGCCCGCTTGTCAGTGATGCATTTTGATCTGGTGCTGCTGTGTTTCCCGCAAGGTTGTACACATTTAGGTACCAGAGACCTGTTTCTGACCACTGCAAGAAACAAAGGAACTCAGAAAGATGATCACATGAAAAATTTTGCAACAAGGAAAGTGCGCTGGTTTGCCAGAACCTCATGTAACTCGACGGCTGTGCCCGTTGGCTGAATCGGCCGAACATGAGGATTCCGTGGCAATGAATGCTCAAACTTCTCCCAAATCATCTGCTAGTGGCAGAACATAGAGCATAGACAACCATATAACTAATCATACTACTGTGGGGTATTAATAGCAGAATATCAATGGCGGAGGATGTTTTTTAAAGGTGTGGCGCTACACCTTTTTCCTTGAAGGTCTGGCGGGGTATGCTTTAAAGGTGTGGCGGTATTTCTTGCTTGAAGATTCTTTGAGCTCGAAGTCAATTCTTCAAGATAAGATTGAAGAATTCTCCCTTAGCTATATGAAATCAAGGGGGCGCCACACCTTTAAAAAACAAGGTCCCGCCACACCTTTAAAAACACATCCCGCCACACCTTTTGATTGTTTTTGTGGCGTTTTTATTGGAGGTAACGCAAGGGGCGTGGGCCGAAGATATTCGATTCATGATTTCGTAAGTATGACCAAGATCTTAAAATATCTCATTTTGGATCCTGGAGAATGCAATCCCCACCATCATCTCAGAAAATTAGGTTGTCAGTGACCTTCATCATTTGTCCAACTTGTCTAGGCAACCTCTGTCCCTTCGCAAAGGCTCAGGCAAGTTCTTCGATAAGAGCAGAGCCACCGGCGTTGTGACGGAGGGTCTGTGCTGACATGTGCAACTCCAGCTTGTCACGACCCTACAGATCGAGGATCAACGAAACTCCTGGCCAGAATTCCACTCACTAGTACGCACATGCCTCGCTGGTTTGCCAAAGACGCTTCCCTCCCCACTTGTGGGGTGCACTGCGCATCTCTCCTGTACCAAACGGTTCGGCCGGCTACGCGAGCGAGCCAGAAACCGCAAGAGATCCTAAGCTCTCAAAAGAATGGAGAGTGGGAACCAAGCTGCCAGAATCCCCAAAAACCCCACTTGCATCAGTGACGTGGCAAGCTCGGGTCCCAAGCAACGTCAAAGAGACGATTTCCCTAATTCTGCGAGGCGATGGCCTCCCTCCCCGCGACGTTCCAAACACTCTGCAATTCCCCTTAGCCAGTAGAAGACATGACCCTTCTAAGTCCCGATGAAACGCAGGAGGTGCTGTGAAAGGATCCTGGGCCCAGAGTTCTCTGGTGGGCAGGAGCCTGACCTCGTCAGGGTTTCCCTGACTCGGCCGGAGTTGAATTCGGTGTACCGAGCTTGTGGATACCATGTCTTGACCATTGCATAATCATGCCGCCATGTCTCATTCATTGTGGTGATCATGCAGTTTGGGGGGATGAAAGCTGACAAAATTCGTTCAGAAGCATTGCTGGCAGAATCGTTGCAAGGAATACTTGACATAATTGTGCTCAGTGCTCGGATATGCTTGGATTCGAAGTGCACCTGACCTGCCCAACGGGGCTACGCCAGCTCCAGTTGTTTCCCAACTTTGCTGTGCAGGCCATCTAGCACGTGAACTCGATGCTGACCATTCGATGCGAAGTTTCAGACATGGCTCTAGGCTTTGTGACCACCAGTGCATCTCCTACTCGAACTGTCAGCATCGAACTCTGTGTCATCAGCCACGGTCACGGGAACAGCACGTGGTCAGTCTCTGCTTCGCCCTCAACTGCGACACCATCACCACTCGAGTCCCTGGCCCACAAAGGATACACAGGGACAACATTGCTTTGAGGAGGGCGCGACTTGCTGCGACGCCACTGCTACACAGCAAAGCACCAGCCCTTGCTCACAAACATTGTACCGGCATAGAACCCAAATAGCGTAAGACCACTTCAAGGGCCCCACGAGCGTGCCGAGATCACTCAAAGAGCCAAGAGCACCCCAGAAAGGGTATGAGACGGGAGCGCGACCTCGAACACCACGATACGCGACCCGTCCCCAACCCAGAGCGGACACAGCGAACCTCTTCACGAAGAACTTTTGCAAACATCATGGTGCAACAAAAATTTGCCGTCAAAATTCCCAGATTTGCTTCTGAAGAGAGTAGTGGGGTGCTGTGACCATGCATTCTTCAAGGTTTTCAGCTATTTGATACACCAGCAATTCATGGTGCATCTGAAAATCAATGCTTCTGCAAAGCTGCATTCTACAAGGCTTCTCAAGCATTTTGGGGTGCCCGCCGCGATGTCAAGCCACGCCGCTTCTGCAATCACGAGTCACGTGCGTGGTGGGTGTTACGTCAGAACCCCATAGTGCAAGCATGGCTTGGTGAACAGCAAGTTTTGCCAGTGATGGGCATGATAAGGCAAATGCGCCACAGTGCCCCAGACATTTTGCGACTTGCTTGAAAATGTTTGAGGTAGTGTTGCGAGTCAAAGGGCACTACCTCCCAACCTTCCAGATTTGCTTCAAGGCTGCAATTGCCATCGAGGCTTCGGGAATTGCAGCGCCGGACGAGTCTTTTCCCTTGCCGCCAGGCGTCGAGCCAATGATCGACTTCTTGATGCACATCCCTGAGGGAGCGCGCGGTTCGGTCCAAAGCTCTGCATAGGCAAGGCAACCATGAAGCCACAGAGACCCTAAAGCAACGCCTTCGCGGATTGCACCCAGGATTGTGGTGGTGGACCCAGCGGGGCAGTCCAGACACTGCGTGAGGCCGAAGGCATTGCCGTACGAGCCTGCACAGCACGCTCTGTGAGAGCATATGGTCGAGCCGGGCTTCGACAACATACACCCTCCTCTCATCTGCATGAGCGGCCTCTGGTACAGAATTGGCAGGTCGACGTCCCCCAGCTGGAAGAGTAGTTGCCCACAGCACACTTGATGCACAGCGAGCTGGATGCCGCCTTCAGGACCCGAAAACCTATGAGCAATGTGTATAGCTGCAGGCTGTTCCTTAAACTTGCCTTCAGACACTTACAAAATCTTACAAGTACGTCTTGATAGACTTTGCCGTAACCTCAGCCATGAACTCTAAGGAAGTTCAAAGTTCTCCTCAGCTCTGAGCTCGGGGCCGACACAATGGGTTGGTAGGTGCCCGGGCCGCACTTCAAGCAGGACAGATGCGAAGATGCACCTCGCGCGAGCATTTTAGCAGGAGTCAGCAAGCGCCCGCTCTGGGCTTAAGCAGTGTGCTCTACTGAAGGCTCCGGCAGAGCACGTAGGGCTTAAGAAGTGATTAAACAAACCACCACCAGCTGCAGCCCCGCCTGCTTCACTACTGTAGGTGCCAGGCGGGCACCCCGTACACGTGGCCCAAGAGGTCGCCCCCGCCACAGTGCTGAAGGTGCCAGAGGGGCACCTGAGACGTGCGTATTCGCCTTCCCCTGTACCTCCTCCCTTTACAATCTATGGCGCAAGCACTCGCCCGCATCAGACTTTCTCAAGACTTAAGAAGCACTGGCCCGCCCGCTGCACCCGACGACAGCTCTAGGCCCTGTAGCATGCTTTCGAAACAAAGAAGCAGGACACAATCTGGTATTTGCACATTCTCTGCAAACTGTGACTCTTGTACAGGAGCTCGAACTGCCCGGCAGGCGCTCGCACGTATGAATCTGACCACGAATGTTTGACTCATTGACTTTGCAACCTGTGAAGCTCCTCTGCCGAGGGTCGATGAACAGGTCTGATTCGAGAAGGCACCCTCTGCGGAGCTGAACGTGCCCTCTGGGCAGGGCTTGCAAACCTCGGGTCTGTGGCAGTCAGTGATCCGCATCCACCCAGCCGGTTTCCTGGTCCCACTCCGTTTCCGACCTACTACCCTTCTTGATGACCCCTGCCGTCTTCTTCTGTGGCAAAAATTCCTCGCCCCAATCTCATCCATACTGTACCGTTGTTCATTTAGCACCCGGCTCGCGCAACCCCAACCCTCAAGATACTACATGCCGGGCAGCCTCAAATTGTAAAATACAACTGTTGCGGGTGTCTGAATGCTGCAAACACTGGCAACTGCAGAATTGCCACGCGTTTGACAGCTTCAGTTGTTGTCGATTACAATTCTGTGTGATTTCATTGAATCAGCTCAGGCAAAGTGCGGCATGGCACGATTTCATGCTATGCACCCGCTAGGGTGCTCTGCAATCTCTTAGGGTGACGGTGTCCGCGAAACTCTTGTTCGGAACGCGTTTCAACATTGCAATTTCAAGGGTCGGTGCTTTCCATTTGGCGGGCGGTGCTTTCAAGCGTGAGAAAATTGAAGCTCAATCAACGTCTAAAGGCTCACGTTCAAACCCAAGATGGCTTTTGTGGGGGTGAATGTCTTTCATAATGAACTTTTGCCTTGTGACTAACTTTGACATGTTTCGCGAGCTTTAAAGGACCTTCCGTTGAGCTGGCCTCCGAGGAGGCCGCGCCAGTGACCGTGCTGAAGGTCCCGGGAGAGCAGGCGATGCAGTCCCCAGGGATCCCAGCGCCCGCCTCTGGGAAGGCCGCCCGAAGGCTTAAGCTACTCTAGCGTGTCAAAGTTTAGGGTTTAGGGGCTAGCACACGCACTGCCGCCGTTGACAAAGTTGTTATGGCTGCTTTGTCTGTTCCCTGTGTTGAGCTGCAGAAGTCAACGGACACAGCTTGTTTTCACAAGGAGTCGGGTTTACAGGTTTACACTAGACTTCAGCCTTCAGCCCATGGCGTTCACTTCATGGAGGCTCGTTCGTGTGCACCATGAAAGGAAGGCAAATCAGCCGAGTGGATGTAAATGCCAAGCTGGCTTTCAGAAATCCGTAGCTCTTTGCACATTCGCAGTTTCGACTTGGTACACTTCTCACTTTGTGGGTGTGCCATTCTTGCAAAGACCGCACTAGGACTGCCAATGCAATTCATCCTCGATGTCTACGCAGGGCTCGGCTTGACTTTTTCTAGTGTCCGGACAGCTATTGAGGGAATACTTCCAAGTACACAGCCGCGTCGACAGTCCTTGGGATTGAAGCGGCCAGCCGGGCAATCCACGCAAGCCTGCGAAGCGAACAGAAACGAACGGTCGGTGCTGATGCTGATGAGCAAGGCTTTGGCCACTGTTCAGCAAGTCACATCCCCCTTTCGGGCACCTTCTCTTCTACAGCACCGAGAACTGGGCTCCACTTCCCAGTCGCGCACTTGCGGCAGACTTTCCTCACAGCCATCAGCTTGGCGTAAAATTGCAAAGCAAAGCAACACATGGCTTCTTCTTCGCAACTGAGTGCTAGGATCAGTGCTCGAACCAATACATGGCTTGGAAACATGTTGTAAAGATGGTAACACTCTTCTTGCGCTTCTCGCGCTCCTTATATGTGCTTTGCAGCAGCCGTGAAGCTGATTTCTGCTTTTTGAAGCGTTACCACATCCCAATGCGCTGCTGGAACCTTCGTGTTCTGCAGCAAGGCAAATCGAAACTGCCGCACTGGCTTGTTTGACGAAGCTGAAACTAGACTTTCGAGGCAGCTTGGGGGATGCTTGTTTTCTTCAAGGGGTTCCAAGGTCAGGCACGCTACAACTATGGCGGCTCGGCATGCCGTGGTGCCAAATTTGCAAGTTATTGGATATTGCCCTCGCTGCTCAAGAAGACTCAAGATTTGCTTCAACTCGGCCAAGGCACTCGGAAGATGCACCCTCCTCTGTGCTCCAGGTGCCCGCAGGGCAGAAGTTGCAGTCGAAGACCGAAGACGCACCCGTCCTGATGTGATTCTGGCCTTGTGCCGCCGTGTTAGGTTCTTGCGAGCCATGGCAAACTTGAGGCTTCTTGCAGCCTGCCGCCCGGATGTGGCAACGAAGTACCCATGAGTCAAATGGCCAGCGGTCCTGTTGCTCCACCTTCCCTTTGGGCAGGGCTGGCAAGCCTCAGGAGCCCAATGCTCAACGACCATGTTCCATGTGGGTCACCTCCCTTAAGATCTTGCTCCTTGGAGATGGGTAAATCATCATCCAGGTGTATGGGTGTACACCTGTATGTATTGAGGTTGGGTGTTGTGAGGTGTAGTGTGAAAAGTGCTATTGGGTGGTGGTGGGTCGCGATTTTGTCGTCCTAACGTTAAGAAACCCGTCCATCTCATCATCTTTCATGAGACTGACTTGGTCACTGATCGTTCGGTTGACAGGTCCGCCTCAGGTGAGATAGCCCCCTCCTGGCTGCTCCACGTGCCCTCGGAGCACTTGTGGCACTCCTCTGCGCGCAAAAGCAGGTGCACACCATGCCAAGGGAACTGATGCTCAGAGCTACGGCGTGCATGCCGCTCTCCTCCACCTTACTTGCTCCGCGAATGTCGCTCCAGGTACCAGCTGTACCTCAACACGTGCCAAGAAGGTGCATAATCCGAGCTCCTGTTTAATTTAACCCCCCATATTTAAAGAAATTTTTTTTTGCCCGGATTCCCGCCGGAAGACTACTTTCCATTACGATGGATTTCGTATGGGCCAAACCCTCCACATTTAAAGAAATTTTTTTGGGGGGGTGTTGTCAAATTTTGAAACTCTGCCTTTCGGAAAGCTTGAAGCCCGTAGTCTTGAAAGAAACCTTGAAGCTTAAAAGGAAAAGCTTTAAGGAAGCCGGTGCTTCGGTTTTCTGGAAGCTGAGGGCCTTCAGAAAGCAAGGATTTCTTATGTGATTGCTTACTGGAGGAGAGAAATTTTCATTCTTTCCTGAGCTACCCCTTACGGGCTCTGGCAGGGAAAGGCAGAGTCACATTAATAGAATGGGGCCAGAATTATGGGAAGCCCCGGCCCGTGGGGAGCCCTGGTCCTGTAGTCTTGAAAGAAACCTTGAAGCAGAGAAACCATACGGGGCCATGGTCCAACTATTGCGGAACCCTGCTTTCCTTATTGTGGGGGGGGGGAGGGGGGGGGGGGGGGGGGCCCCACCAATTAAACAGGAGCGCACACACACACACACACACACACACACACACAGACACACACACACACACCACACACACACACACACACACACACAAGTTGACTTGTCTGGAACTGATGAGACGGACTCTCGACTGGATCAAACATCACATCATCATGAGGGTGAAATGAAGAATTTTGTACCAACCTGTGCCAGACACCAGGAATGGCACAAGTAATACCAAATGAGATGATGCCAATGAGGGGTATGGGTGCAGCCCATGTTGCACCAGACACCGGGAATGATGCAACGCGAAGTGAGATGGAAGATGAACGAATGGTGAGGTCCCCCAAGCTACTCCCGCAGGAGTCCATGGGCAGACAAGAGCAGGTACGTTTACACGGGTTGGGGAGGGGGGTCTTCGTTGACCGGGACCCCCTCCCCACCCTCCCGGTCCCCTGCAAGTGAAAACAAAGCGAAAAAGGGTGTGACCCCAATCCTGCATGTACAGCAAGTTACACACACACACATGCCCCGAAGGGCAGTGAGGTGTCTGCCTGTCATCGTCGGCATCACACAGAGCAGCATCATGCCCCGAGAGGGCGGACAGGACAAAGACATGTCACATATCTTGAATCGGAGAACAGGCGAGATAGATCAGCACCACAACCGGAGGGAGCGCAGCAACATTTTACCAACACTAGCAGAAGGGAACATGCCATGGCAAGCACATGAACAACAACCAACAAGAGTGCAGAGAAGATCCACCAACACCAACAAGAGGGAGAACAACACCACTTTACCAACATTAGCGGGGAGGACATGTGTCCGTACCTGATGCAGCCTCAGTCAAACTACCTGTTCACAGCTGACGGTGCATTACGAAAGCCACAAAGCAGTGCCGTCCGGGTACCCCTGCGTCTGCAATTTGGATGATCCCGATGACATGTCTGTGCTCGCACTCACTCATGTCACAAAGCCTACTGCAGATGATCCCGATGAATGAGTATCTCAGCCAGCAGAGCTCAGTCAATCCCGGATGCCCGGGTCTGCTGGGATCTGGCCCCGTGACGGGACAACACGCCAGAACCATACACACGTTGACTTGTCTGGAACTGATGAGACGGACTCTCGACTGGATCAAACATCACATCATCATGAGGGTGAAATGAAGAATTTTGTACCAACCTGTGCCAGACACCAGGAATGGCACAAGTAATACCAAATAGATGATGCCAATGAGGGGTATGGGTGCAGCCCATGTTGCACCAGACACCGGGAATGATGCAACGCGAAGTGAGATGGAAGATGAACGAATGGTGAGGTCCCCCAAGCTACTCCCGCAGGAGTCCATGGGCAGACAAGAGCAGGTACGTTTACACGGGTTGGGGAGGGGGGTCTTCGTTGACCGGGACCCCCTCCCCACCCTCCCGGTCCCCTGCAAGTGAAAACAAAGCGAAGAAGGGTGTGACCCCAATCCTGCATGTACAGCAAGTTACACACACACACACACACACACACACACACACACACACACACACACACACACACACACACACACACACACACACACACACACACACACACACACACACACACACACACACACACACACACACCCTCACACACACACACACACACACACACACACACACACACACACACACACACACACACACACACACACACACACACACACACACACACACACACACACACACACACACACACACGTATGTGCACATATGCTTCTTATCATCACCGGCCAGTCCAAGCTTGCAGGTCGTTTCGGCCGATTCCGGGTGTTCACTGCACTGCGTGTTTGTGAGCGGCACTGCTTCGGCTGAGTTGCATCTCTGGCAGAGCATCTCCCCTTCGGGGCTGTACGTCCCCTCGGGGCAGATCATGCACGGACTGCCCCGCACCTCAGGCACGTTCACAATCTCGGTGGGGGGCGGGGGGCAGATTTATCCTGGAAAATGTCACCACAAGGTTCTCACACAGGCACAAGGCAAGCACGCTACAACCCTCGTTTCGTCAACCTCTCGCCATCGCTTTGTACTCGCTTCGTGCAGCTGCAACGCAGGCCGGCCGAATCCTGCTGGACATCCTCGCAAGAAGGACTCAATGCAATGACTAATGTACCAAAAACTCTCTGCTAACGTGACCTATTTTCTCACAGATTCTTCGCGTGTCCTCCCGGCACGGCGGACACCGGGAGCAGGCCGAGGAGCAGCAGCCCAGCTCGAGCCATTTGAGTCTCCTGTGAGGAACACTGCAGAAACAAAGAATCTTTGGCACTTTGCCAACCGTTTACCGTAAAGGCTGTGTGGTGTGAGGGCAAGGATTTGGGTCACGCAACTCATCGGGCCAAACTCCACCCTAGGGCCATGACGGTTTTCAAGAGCATTTCTGATGAAACGTTCTTGCGGGCCAGCAGTCTGCTGTTCGGTCCGGAAGCGAAGGAATGAGGACTCCCGAGCTACGCGCAGTGCCACTTCAGCCAAAAAATTGCTGAACCGTAACGGGATGACAGTTCGGAGGCATGTCTGCGTCTCGTTGATCCCTCTACGATCTGTGCTGGAACTTGGCATTTTCATTTTCATGCCCTCTGCACCAACCAGACGGGTTCTTGCTTCAGATTCCGTGCATGACGCCAGCATCTAGGGCACTTGTCCAGACGGATGTCCCTGATATGCTGACCATCGCATCCCCTGCCTCTGATGAAACATCAACATACAGGTCCGTGTCCACTTACCGAAGGCAACTTCTCAACTTGCGAGAAACACCAACAAAGCAGTTAGCAGTTGTAGTTGCAGGGACTGGGACGCCGCATCGGCGCAGGCCACTTGCTCGGCTGCAAAAACCCTCGGCTTCGACTTCGTATCTGGTGATGATGTTCGATGCTAGTCATGCCAGTAGTCATATGACGGAGTGGTTGCAGGGCTTTTTGCACGCGGGCCCGACGTGACAGTCATGCGAGCCGCCTAGCTGCAGACGGCACGGGAAAAGCGCCGAGAAGCACTTCCAAACACTTGTTCTAGCATGGCTCTCATGTTCCAGCCGGCCCGTCCCACCAAGACGTTAGTAAAGACACACCGGGTTAACTTGCATGACGAAGCAGCTCCAGGCTGCAGTTTGTGAGCCGGGCATATCTTGGATTGGGCCTTCTTGTTCAGTAGGTTTTAGCAGCACTTTAGCAATTTCAGGACAAGGGTTCGAGTGCAAGGCCCTGGCAAGCCCTCTGGTAGGCACAGATCCGCCTGGCGGAGCTCGCTCAGACGCCAGGGGTCACCCTTCTGGAACTTTCCTGGACCAGAAGTCAGAGTCGGAGCCCTACTTTTCCAGTAGTGCGATCAAGTGCTTTGTTGTCGGGTTCACGAACTGGCAGTGAGTTCACGACAGTCTCTCTCACAAGAGCTGCTTGTTGCAACCGCCTGCAAGTCCTTCGCTTATCCGTCTACGCCCCCTTGTCACATCCGAACTTCTTCAAGATTGCAGCTGTGAGTCTGACCCAAAGCCCTTTTTTCCGGCTCAGACCGTTTTTTTCGGCAGGACTACGATGGTCAGCACTCGGCCGTCGCTTCATGGCAAGGACTGCACGCTGGTCGCCTGGCAGCTTTCGCATGGAGGGCCTTGCGTCGGCATGGACGATGTCTCGGACAGAGCCTCCAGCTCACCAAACCTCACCAAAAGGAGGTTGGTGGCGGTGGCGCGGGATGAAAGAGCAACGGTGGCGGTGTTGGCGGTGTAGGAGGTGGCGGGCCTGGTAGAACAGAAACAGGGAGGCCCAGTCCCGCTGGCGCAGAGAAGGCTGACAGAGTTGTTGGAGGCGGCGGCGGGCCCACAGGGGCTGAGCGCGAGGGTTGGTCCTCTTCTCGCCGACGCTTGTGCCCACGTCTCTTGCTGGCAGACTCCAAAAGGAGGTTCATGAGCCTTTCGGCTAAGCGTGGGCTTTCGTCGATGATCTGCCTCAGCTTGGGCCTCTGCAACTCCAACAGCTGGCAATCATTCTCCTTCAGCATCTTCAGACAGGCAGCCTCCAAGCGACCGCCGCTGCCAAGGGTGTGGCCCAGAAATGAAAGCACGTTACTCTCAGACAACAACTGCTCCATGTCCTTCTCAACTTTCTTTACCAGCCGGTGCAAGCAGTATTGGTCAGCGAGCTGCCGGACAGAGAATGCGTAGGCTGTGTCTCCGTTTGAGTGAAACGACCCGGTAAGGAGGAAACGTAAAAGTCCATGAAGAGTGCGTTGATTGGCATGTGGGTTGCCACTTAAGTCGATTTCGTTGGTGTGACTCTCCTTCCACCTTGGCTCTGACAGCATCTCCCTGAAATACTGTGAAGAAACCAACAACAAGCGCTTGTCGAAGAATACAGGAGGTCCCTCGGACAGTCGGAAGGTGACCTGCGTCATCTCCTGTGTGAAGTCCATGTCAGCCAAAGCTGCAGTTTGGGAGCTTTCTTCCTTCAGGGGGAACGTGACCTTGCCCGAGAGACAAAGCTCGTTACGTTCGTTTAACCATCCTCCACTCTCAGCCAAGATGTCCGAGATTGGCATAAATTCCTCCCAGACAAAGGTGTCACACGCGTGCGAGAGGCGGACGAGGTGGTTCATGCTGAAGCATGCGGCAGGGTCCACGTTGGAAGCTGTAATTTCGACTCGCACGTTACACGTCCAACGCTTTTCTTTCAGCTTCTCGGGAGGCAGCAGTTTGAGCACCAAGTCTAAATGCTCACCGCTCTCCAGTCCTCGGGGGAAGGCCTCCAAAACGATGCGAAAGGCCTGGAGTCTCCCCGCAATGCGCGAACGAATGCTGTGTCCAGTCCGAAACTTCCCAGGGTTCGCGACCACCAGCTCAACAGCTTCCTCTCGTCCTCGAGGCACTTCCTTATGCTCCTCGGACTCTTCCTCCTCCCTGATCTCTTCACCGTCCTCCGGCTCCTCTGTGAGCTCACCGGGCTCTGCCTCGGATTCGTCCGCATCGTCGGAAAACATCGAAACTTGCAGCTCGGGTCTGAGATGGTCTGAGCCACTGCGACCAGTGCCAGGAACTGCCAAGAACAATCAACTTGCATCTAGCAGCGACACTCGAAGGTTGCACACGAGCCACACGAGCCACACGAGGCACACGAGGCACACCGGGCACACGAGGCACACGGATCACAGATCACACTGTATCGCTCGCAAGCCAGAAGCCAAGTACTGAGACTCTAACATGACCTTTAACTGTTAAGCAGCGTCTGGCCTCCTATGTTCTCAACTTTGCGCTCTTTACAGCCCAAGCTCGGACAGCGCCGCCGCCGCGCCTTGGCACGAGCTTGGACGAGCTGGGGTCTTGTTGCACTCTGCGCGTTTTCCGGGTGTACCCCATTCTGCCTTGAACGACTTTGAACAAGTGTGCTCAGCGTGTCGCGTGGCTCGGGAGGCTTGACTAGCTGTGTTTACGTGGGTGGAAACCTGCCGAACGTAGCACGCTGCAGTCAGGCCCTGCCCTGCCCGACCACCCACAAACCCCCGATGCAAGCCCTGTCAACTTGGGTCTGAACTTTGTCCACGAGCTTCCTGCGGGCACAAGGCGAAGTTGTGTCCACACAGGGTCCATGCAAGATCCAAAACCGCGACGCGTGACTTGGGCCAAAAACAGTGACACCTGTTGGCTGCCTGTTGACTACGGAGGCTTGCAGGCAAACGTGAGTGACAGGACAGCTTGCACCCCGCCTCTTTTTTGGCCAGCAAAGCCCTGGTGGACAGGTCGGGGCGCGTTTTTGGATCCCAGAATACCCCAGACTTTGCCATATTTGCAGTGTCAAGAACTAGTAACTGAGAATGGGATTTTCTGGCGGGAGGGAGCAAGCAGGCTACGAGTAGCACTGACCAGCCAGAAGTGCGCCGACTGCGAGGACCTAAGCATGGGCCTCATTCCCGAGGATGACGACGAATCAGCTGCCTTGCACAATCACATAGGAACCCGGCCGTCACGAGATAGCGAGCCATTCGGCGAATCTCAACTGTGGTATTGCGCGGGCGTACCACATGTCTGTCACGGTAGATTTCAGAGGAAAGCCTCCATGCTTTACGACTTTGACTTTGGAGCCATGAACTACGACTGTAGTGACCAAACTGTGTCACTGAGGAGTGGGCTTTCGTTTTCTTCGCCTTCGGGAGCTTCACCTTGGAAAGGGCTGCGGAGCTTCCGAGGTCCTCACAAAGTTCCATTGTGGCTTCTGAGTGCAGACAGAGATTCGGCAATTGAAAAACGAATCTGAGCCTGGAGACTGAGGAATGGTGATGGCTCCCGTTGGGGTCTGGCTTGGGACCAGTTGCTGGAGATGGCACGGGCTTCACCTGAGAAGCTTCGCGTCGACGCATTCTGTCACGCCACTTGGCTGTTGCTAGTTCGACCACGTTGCGTAACCGCTTTAAACAATGATGTTAGCTAACTTCAAGAGTAATGAAAACATAGGTTTCTGTTCTGATGCCACGTGAAGGGGCGGGATGGGTACGGTGCGGGGGTGGGGGTGGGTATGGTGCGGGTGGTGCGGGTACGGTGGGGGTACCCGTACCTGCGTACCCGTACCTGCGTACCCGTACCTACGTACCCGTACCCGTACCCGTACCCGTACCCGTACCCGTACCCGTACCCGTACCCGTACCCGTACCCGTACCGGCTCATGGGTTGCTAATAGCGGCTCATGGGCCGCTATTAGCGGCACAGGCACGGGGTACGGGGTGCGGGGTGCGGGGTGCGGGGTGCGGGGTGCGGGGTGCGGGGTGCGGGGTGCGGGGTGCGGGGTGCGGGGTGCGGGGTACGGGGTACGGGGTACGAGGTACGGGGTACGGCTACCCGTACCTTGTACATGTACCTGCCCCCCTGTACTCCGTACCCTCATCCTGGCCCAAAACGTCTGCGACAGAGCATTGCTCTTAAAGTTAGATAACAATGATGCATGTAACTAAACGTGAAAGTGCAGAAATCAGTCCTTCCCCTTAGGATTCGAGTCTAAGGGCTTTGGTGCTGCACATGCTCGCCACACATTGTGCTTCCTATGACCACGAAGTTCCTCGTTTTGGCATGGTGCCCGCTGCAGGCTTTGGATATGCCTGGGGCCCATGCTGGCCCAGCTGAAATTGTACTGGCTTGAACTCGTGCGGACTGAAAGCGTAGAAAACTCATTCAATGCCTAGTCATATTGTAGCCACTTGCAACCTGATTACGATTTAGCGATTTAGTGGAAAATCGCATGGGTTACTTTCAGTTCAAGCCTTTCTAAACTTAATCTAATCGTAAACCACAATGAACCTCAGCTGATGACACTTAAGTTCGGAGGGCTTCTTCGGTGAAACGCACACATCATCCAAATCATGCGGCAGTCTCGAAGGACCCAGACTGCAACTCTTCCCTCTCTTCCTGCTAGCTACGGCCCTGCATGCCGTCTGGGGCCTTTGGGGAAGTCTCTGCAGCAGCTCGAGCAGCCTGCATAACCTGCTGCAGAAGATTCGCAGACCCAAGCATCTTACAGAACAGTCCACGACACTGACGCAGGGTATCTTCAACAGCTAGGGAGAGGAAGGGTCGTGGGGTGATGAGAGGAGGCGGCTTTGTGCTTCAAAAGCTGCTCAACAAGCGGGGTAGAGGACCGGGCAACGTGGTGTAACTGCGGAGGAGTCACAGCGACAAACAATCACCAGGGCTCCCTGAAACAGCTGAGCCAAAGAGAATGGGGCAGCTCTCGCCTCCTTGGACAATAAAACCGTCCTCGGCGCGAGAATGCACAGAAGCAGCAAGGAATCCGGACGATGCGGCAGAAACCTCCGAGCCGCCGGCACTGTCAAGCGACCCTGCCGCACCTTCATTTCTGAAGGATCTCGGGCGATCTCGGGGAAGCTAGGACTTTGTTTGCTATATCCTTTCCTTGCCATGAATTTGCTGGAGTGAATGCTCTCGCGCCAAACTGCCCGGAAACCCTCATGTTAGCTTTCGATGGAGCATGTACCTGGCTGATCAAGAACGAGTCTGCAGCCATCCAAAGGCCCTGGCAGGCAGGCTGCACCGCAGCTCCTCCATCCGCTTCTTCAGGTCAAGCTCCTGGCATGTCTTGCAGAACTCCGGAAGGTTCTGGCTTTCTGGCTTATTGAGCCATCGCCTTCCTTGCTTTCTGCCACTGTGGCAGGGAGCACTGCCATGCGGGGGTTCGGAGTTGCGCTGCGTGCACTTGTTTCGCACTGCTTTGGCCAACGAGGCGGTAACCCATCGCATCGAGCACAGGCTTGGGAGCCCGGGCACGCATACACCAGAGTAGATAGAGAAACCGATACCAGTATTTTCCATTTTCCTTTTGTTCAGCTCTAAAGTCCCGGAAGAAACACCTGGATGCGGGGGGACCCGGCCTTGCCCTCTATGGCGCTGAGAACACTTGCCTCCCAAAGAGTGGCAGAGCAGCTCATGATAGCTCATGGCTCGGCTGCCCGGTCGGGTTCAGGAACCTTTAGGATTTAGAGTTTAGGGTTTAGGGTTCAGGGTTTAGGGGCCAATAATTGTGGGAGCATTTCAGTCTACAAGCGGCGAGCTGCTCACGATTCTCCAAGATGAGGCGATCGGCTGATGAGCTTCCAAGTCCTGACTTTTTGAGACTCCGCCTGTGCAGCGTCGTGCTCCGCAGCCCATGACGGCTGCTGCAAGATGTTGAACTGCTGGTGAACCCCCCGCCGCATATCGAACATCATGCGTCACTGTTGATGGCCAAGGCTTCTCGATTTGAGAGTGAAAGCTTTGCAGCTCTACCTGCAGCGTTAGCCATCAACCAGATGCATTAACACAGCAGCAAAGTTTTGGGGGAAAGCTCCCCTCTTAGTTTGCTGAGAAAAATCAGTGAAGGCGCTTCTCTGCGCAGTGGCTTCAACTGAACCTTTCTACTCCTACAACCGCAACGTGGGGGTTTCAGCGATTTGGCTGCCCTCGTTGCTTTCGCTCCTGAGCGCTGGTGATCCGGACCTAACTTTGAGGTGCCGATCGCAGCTTCCTGGGCTCTGCCAGCTCCCTCTTCTTTGCCTGCCACCAAACTGGCCTCAAGCTCTTCAGGCTCGTCTTAATTACGCAGAGTGCGCTGCGTCAAGCTTTCTCGGGCCCATCGCTTTCGGCTGGCCGCTTCTGCCGCAGTTTGCCGAAGTTGCGAGGTGCCGTCGAGGCCTTCGCCGCCCTCTTCGGCTTTGCGGCCCTCTTTGGCTTGCCTGGCTTCGTTGTCGCCGGCACCCGCTTCGTCGCACTTTGCTTCCGCTTCGACGCCCTCGAATGCTGCAGCCTGGCTGCCTTTGCCTGCTTCGACGCTTCCACAGGCAGGTCTGCACCTGGGCAAAGAAGTACCAAACAACCACCGTGCTTGCTGACGTGCCCGTCGTGGCATCTCTCTTTCTCACTCCCATTCACAACTTGCAGTACAAGCCCGACCTTCTGCAGAGGCAGCTTCAGGGCCCTTCTGGGCTTTGTCCAGCAACCTCAGCCTGTCATGCGGAAGAGGTGGAAGCTATCCCTGTAAATGGGCTGAGTCTCAGGGACTTGCCAACAGGCAATGGGCTGCCTTGCATTTTCAGGTCTTAGTGAACACAGCTAACAGGACAGCGGAAGCTGAACACCTCAAGCCATGCTGCACACCGAGCATCGGAGAGCACTGCTTTTTTGGCACTTCGGGGGCACTTGCAGGTCACGCTGCATCTGTCGCCTCATGTCGTTGATGCGCGCCAGGTGCTTGTCCTGGAGCACGAAAGTCTGAAACTTGCAGCACTTTCGGGGACTTGCGTGGGCAACGAAAGGCCGAGGCCCAGAAGATGGGCATCAGTTGGCATTCAGTTAGCTCATTTCGGGAAGGCGGGGACGAGCCATCTCCAGCTCCAAGGCTCCGCGCGCTTGTCATCGGTTGTGAGCTTGCCCGTCTCTTCCTGGAAGAAGGCACAGTTTGTTGGGCAGGGCTGGGCTGGGTCCAGTGTGAAGGTGTCTGGAAGGTCCCCTGAAAGCCTCCGTGGTCAGATGCACAAGGAAGTCGCCCGCCGAAAGCTCCGAGCGCGAACGCCTCTTGTCCTTCCCGAAACTGCTTCAAGACGGTGCCATCTGTATGCGGAAAGGTGCAACTTTTTGGCTTTCCGGAGGGCGGTGAGGGACAAGGACCTGGGGCAACTTAGGATCGAAATTTTGACGGCACAAGCTTTGAGGCCGAACTTGTCTTCAAGCTTTGGTTGGAATTTGGCTCGCTTCTTGTTGCCAGTTTACTTTGAGCTTCCCCAACAAAGATCTTGAGATATGCGATGAACTGAGTAACTCACACACGAAGGAGGAGCGCGGGTGCTCTCTCGCCTGATGTGAGAACAGTGCAAGTACCACCAAACAATCTCAGCATGTAATCTCAAACGGAAACATCCGGCAGGCCAGGAACTGCTGAAAAGGAAATGTCCATAACCACCTTTGCAACACTACCTTTGTGCACCGCTGCAGCAGCAAAGAGCAAGGAAGCCCCGGAACAACTCCGACGGCAACGAGACACCCAAACAACCGCAGGCTGAAAGCAGAGCCGAGCCGAACCCAACCCTGAAGAAAGATAAGCAAGCCATCCGAAAAGGAGTACTTTCGGGAGACTGAGCTCAGTCTGCCATCTGCTGCCACAAGGACGCATGACATACTGGAGGAAAATTGAATCCAAACAAGCATCTTAACATCTTTGTCCACGGGAGGCCTACACACAGATCTTGTAAGAGCATCACGAGCCAGGACCACAATCCAAAGTCAACCTGGCACAACAGCCTGGTCAAATGGACTTTGTCTTTTTCGGGCCAAAAGTGAGATCAGCAAGAACATCCAGCAAGCAGCCAAAGGTGCAGAAAGACGGACGAGGAAACAAGCACCACACTACAGGCCCATGAGCACTCGTAAGCGAAACGGCAACCCAAGCAGACACAAGAAGAACAAAACACAAACAGAAACGAAAGACACTTTTGCATGGTGAAGGGTGCCCGGCCCGCTTCCCAGGGTGAGCAAACAAGAAGGCACACCTTCTGTCTTGACGCGACTTGACGACTTGGCCGGCATGAGTCGGTGATGGGTGTTTTGCACAGTTTTGGGAGCTTCATGGAAGGAGGCTTGAGTCCAGCAAGTGGCACATCAAGATAATCGAAAAAGTCTGCCGCCACTGAACCGGGTCCCGCATCAGGTATCCCATGGGCATCACGGCAGCGCGCGTGGCGTTCATCAAGTCCTGCGCATTTTTTCCGGAGGGGCCTACCTCTGCTTTCCATCTCTGTGACTGCCGGAAACGCCAGGAACTGCCCCATCCTCAATTAAAGACCTGAAGGAAATCCTGGCCTCTTTGGCTTGCTCTTAACCGTCGCAACTGTAGCTTGCTTAGAGCTCGGGTTCCGGTGAGTACACGGCAGACCGGCGACTAGGTTCACATGTTCCCAAACCTTGCACGTGGTGACATTGTCTTGATCCCGTCAGTCCAGGAGCTGGCTTGCCTCTGGGCAGAGCGCGCGGAAGCGGGCCTTCCGGGAATCAGGGGAAGCTCAAAACAAAGTGATCCTGTTGTCACTGTTGTCAGTGCCATTGACAGCTCATGCGGGGGTTGATGGTTGAAGTCTCAAGATGTTGCCGTGGGCAGGTGGAAAAGCATGATCAAAGAAACCCACATCTGCCTCCATGCACCTAGTGCGGCAACGTGAGCCATCTTCGGATGAGACATGATTTGACAGTAAACGCTCAGTATATCAGTTGTAATCACAGCGTTCGGGGCCGCGTCTCCAGAACTGTCTACACACCCCACCTGGATCTTTGCATAGGTGCGGTTTTTCAGCCCCAATGCCATAAGCCAGAAGTCGCATCTGTTGTTCTCCTTGCATGCGTTCTGATTGCTTGGCGGTGCTGCTTTGGATCAAAGCATCCCCAACAAAATGGACCCGAGACAAAATGCCTCTCAATACGCCTTCCCTCTCCTAAATGCGCAAGTGTGACTTGAGAGCGTGGGTGAGGGAAAGAGGCAGCTCTCCTTGACCCAGTCGAGGATGACCTGATGCTGACTTAAGTGACGTAACGGGAAACGGCAGATCATGAACAACTCCCATCTCTCGAACATACCTTAAATTCTGATGGATCGAAAGCCCACTGTGAGTTTTTCTCCCCTTTCTTAGCACCAGGAAGCTTGTCGATGTCAGACCTGCCCGCCTTCAAAACCTTCAAGCACTCGAGCAGGGCCCCAACAACGACTTAAAGCCAGCATGCCTGATCCTCCTCTTTTGAGAATGGCGCGGTGCCTCAGCCGGGTGCTACATGTGCCACACTTGCTTCGCGCCTCGCAAACAAGACTAACACCCAAAAGGCTCCCCCAAAGGGTGCATAGCCTCATTGCTTTGTGCCCACCCCCCAAAAGAGACACAAAGTTGGAGAACCATCAGATCAGTGATAAGCAGTGAGATAGATGGGCCTGCGAATTTCTACTTATGAAGATCGACAGCTACAACAAACAAAGATAAGATGAAGCATGATTTGGCGAGATGAACGACGAAACGCACACAATCAGGTAGATGAACAGAGGAAAACACTTTCCACTCAGTTCAGTTCTCGGAAACCCTTCGGCCGTGGCAAGTGTGGCGCCAGTTGATGGGCAAAGTTAAGCAGAGGTCTCCTTGACCTCGTTGTTTCCAAGCGGCTGAGGCGTGGATCCTCGGGAGTGGTTAGCTACAAAGCTCTGATCCACTGCAACTACTGCAAATGTCGGCTCGCAAACTGCCGTGGCTACAATATGCCGTCCTCGTACATCTTCCATCGCGTCACCACTTCTACTCCGATTCGGTTTGGCACATGATCTGCCACTTTTGCAAACCTGAGGTGTCAATTTCAAGCAGATTTGCGAACGCGCAAGACATCGTCCATGAGCCTGGAGTCCTGAATCGCGAAGGCTCTGTCCAGTTCCATTTCCCACACTACTCAGGGCTGTGCCTAGAAGCCCAGGCCCCCAAATCCCAAATGTCCACAGACCCGCATTCTGAAACCAACAGCTGGGAAACTCCTTGCAGTCCCAGCCATAGATGCACCTTGGGTGGGTGAGGAATGCTTCGGGCTTCGATTCAGAGAGCCCAAGCGTCAGGGGAAGCGCGGCCAAATGGATAGCAACTGCAGGAGCGCAGATGAGTACAGCTTGCTTACGCCTGCTTACTCATCACGCCGCAGAATGTCAGCTCCGGTCGAGGCGTCTAAACAGGCACTTGCGCGAGCACGTTCGCAGCTTTACGAATGCCGGCCCGCGAGCGACACTACATGTAGCTATCAGCGAACCCCGATCAAAGCGCCGAACCCCGGACTAGCCACGAAGCCTCAAAGCATAAGAACATCCGCTGCCAATGATTTTCAATTGCTTGTGCTGCAATACTTTCTCGCCTGCAGCTGGCTTCGGCAACATGATACCTGTGTAGCCTAGTGGCCAAGCCGTCGTTGAGAAAATTGAGACTTCCTTGAACTTTCGGCTTCTTGACCCCATCTGACTCCGTGGATATGGAGTCCACGCCTCAAAGAAAGCCGGTCGAACCAATCCAGCGTATCAATCGGCCCAGCCACATCGCCAGAACCAGAGATCTGCTTTGCAGCTGTGTCCAGGAAGCTTTCTCGGGATGTAGTAAGCCTCCGGCACATGGGCAGCCCGGGCGGGGAGGCGGTTTGCAACCACCAAGAGAGACAACAAGCGCAGAGCGTTTGCAAAGACGCAACTGACGCAAAGATTCCATCACTGAAGCTTGGCTTAAAGTGCTTGCTTCGTCGGGATCCGAAAATATCCGGAGTTGGGCCACAAGGTTGGTAAGCCAGGGGTTCACCGTTGGGACAGCTGTCGCCCCCAGCAAACTCAAACCTCAGCGCATCCCGGGAGCCTTTCTGACTGTCTTTCAAGTTGATCCTTGGCTGGCTGGTCCCATGAACGTTCAGCACAAGAAAAGCCGACAGGTGAAAGCTGACTCTCTGCAAAGCCCTAACTTGCAAGAGAGGAACTTTCTGATGAAGTTGGAGACTTGAAGCGTTGTGTGCCCCGGGCCGAGTCTGGCATTCACCACAAACCAGTGACATCTCCCCTGGCTTGAGCTGAGATTCAGCTGAGATGTTGGTTTGAGGCGTCAAAGCATAGAATTGCTTGAAAAGGCTGGGCGAAGCATCAAGCAACTAGCTTTCTAAGGCTACTAGTACCTTTTCGCTCTTTTCAGTTCGCAAGTAGCCACTGACCCGGGGGATCGCAGCAACACGACCTGCTCGAGCACTGCTCGGTAGCTGCAGCTTTATTGTAAGCACACAAGATCACACAAGGCCAGCCCATGCCAGCCAACGACGATGATGACCACCACCGCCACCGTGACCACGCCACGATCACGACACTAACAGCTACCACCACTATCATGGCGACGGCGGCAACAGAGACAGAGGGTGACACAACGGGCATGACCAGGAAAGCGCAGTGCACAACGACGCCGGCGCTACAGCTGCCCGAGTGCGTTAGTTTGGTCGAAATAAAAAAGATCAAAATAGATCAGCCAAAAACACCTCAAATCCCGCCAACTGGGACCGACCTTGTCCTGCGCATTGAACGGGTAGCCGACCTCCTCGGTCGCCTCGAACAGGCGCTCCACATCCTCCCTCAGAGCAAGGCACTTCTTTAAACTCACGCCCTTTCTTCAGAGATATTTCTCTGCTGTTTTGTCAAGAGGGTAGTGCTTTGACTGCGGCAGATGTTGAAAACGTAAAAGCAAACATCTCGCTTCCTGGCATCCCAGGAAACCTTTGAAATTATGGAACTTGTATGCTTTGTGCAAGTCTGGCCTCTTCGGAACCCAGATAGCAATTCGCACAGGAGCAGCTCCCAGGCCATGTTCATAACACAACAAAAAGGAGCGAAGTGATCACGCGATGCGTTCACACACGGGCTAAGAATATAACAGGAGCTCTCAATAGTGCGCCGAGGAACGCTTGAGGTTTATATAGAAGGGTTCTAAGCCCCCAGATGCCGCATCCTCATCCAACCTCACCAAACAAGAAACTCAATTTTATGTTTCGCCTGGACACGCCGTCCAGCCAAAACTCACAATGGAGTTGTGTAAGGACTGTTGGTAGCGGCCTGAGCTCGAACTGGCAGGGAGTATAAGCCAAATCGCACCAGGCCGTACATTCCGACTTGAGAGCTGTCGCCAAGATGCAGAAACAACGCCAGGGACTGCGGGTCAGCTTCATCTTGCCAGCTATCTGATCCCAGTCAAATCCTCCACTCAAGCGATCGATGCTGTCAAGCAGAGATTTGGTCTCAGTCTCTCCACAAGAGACAGGGTTTTTCATTTAGGATTCTGTGGCCACGGGTGCCTTGCGTTTTCTTCTGCGCGCTTATCTTCGCGACAGCCTGACTACGTTGTGCGAAACTACGAGAATACCCTGTTCCACGGGCAGGCCTCTAACCGGCTTTACGCACACCGACGTCCGTGGTCTCTTTTTGTCAGGTTCCTTGAATTCTAGTGGGAGATGTCTACATACTGCAATTCTGAAGTCCTGCGTTTCCTCCCCACTCTCAAACGTTAGTAGGAAAACCCCTGTTTCCTCTCGACCGTAAGAACAACATCCTCTTTCTTTAAAGACAGCAAGGAATCTCCAGTTCGTCTGGAATGTAATAAGGCGTTTGAGTGTTACTCAGGATTCCTTGGGGGGGGACCAATCGAGGAGCATTCTCGAGCATAGCTGGGCTTCAAATCTAGCAAACCCCAAACACCGAAACGCCTTTGACAAGATACATATGTGGCTTACTTCTGCGAGCCACGCGACTTGCGATTTGCAATTATGAAGGCAAACTGTCGCCTGTGCTAGTACTGGTCATGCAAGCCTAATTAATCGGGAACTGCATGCAACAAATCCTGGCAGCAGTAGCCTGTCTCTGAACAAAACATATGAAACTTGAGCTGTGTACCCATATCTTTCAGCATCCAGCTCCTCTGTGCTGCGTTGACAGCGTCAGGAGCTGCAGGTCCTGACAACCACTTCTCTGTATTTCGCTGCATCTCCTGTTGGGTGGGTGCTTTCGTTTTTCAGCTTCTTTCGGATTCCATGAGCCTTGTGGAAAACATTCAACACCCTCGTTGCGGTGGCTGCCCTGGACGGAAACGACATCCCGGAACGCCTCTTACGCACGAAACTTCCTGGCTCCTGCTTCTGCCTAGCGCACACATGAACCGGCCACGCCTCCTCTTTTGTGAACTTCCCTGTTTGAAGCCCATCATAGAGCCTCACCGCTGGAAGCGCCACTCGAACATTCCCAAGGTGTGCAATGGGGTATTGGGGGCATTGGACATACTGGGGACGTCATGCTACAAGATGGGTGTGCCGCGGACTTCAGCTGGAGCCGACGCGGCATGCATCCCTCTGAAGAACTCGACTTAAGCAACAATCACCTCCCCGAATCCAACCCGACCACCACCTGCCCAGAACCACTGCTGCGGATAGACCGCTGACCATCACTGGATAAGTCAGGCTTGCGGGCGAAGCAGAGTTGTACTGTACCCTTAGTGCTTAGTCACGCCCACTGAAGCACCGACACCGCACACGGATCACAAGCCTCTCGCTGTACCGCACATAACACTCCCGCGCGGTCCGCGAGTAGCCCCGCGAGCAGTGGCGGCCCTTCCTGAGGCTCATGCTGGCTTTCCGGTGAATGCTCTTCCGTTGATTTTGTAGGATGTTGAAAGCACATGCCTATTCCTGAATTCCATCCTGGATTCCATGGCTACAATGGTGCACTCACGGCGATCACACTTCCAGGTTGGTCATGTGAAGGTGAGATTCGTCGATCCGAAACCCCAACCCGACAGAGTCGCCCCTTGACCCCAAAGCATTCCAAGCATGCCCAGGCTGTGGACCCTTGCTCTGAACATCTCTTAACATCTCTTAACTTCCAGCTCAGCCTCACCTTGCTCCAGTCGAGCTTGTACTTCATCGACTTCCAGAGTTCCTGACTGGCACATGTCATGTTTCAAGCAGGCAGTGTGGGGGGTGCATAGTGTTTCCAGGTCGGTTCTCCATCAGTGGCCATGGAGCCGAAGTTGCCCTGCTTCTGCTGTTCCGTTTTCATGATACCACAACGAATCAGGCAACCCACCGCTGCAAGACATAGTCGCACAAGCCCATCTCACACCTGTTTGCATGCCTATGAAAAACCGCTGCCATGCTGCCAAAACAAACTGTTGGCTGTTGTGTTTGTTGTGGCTGGAGGTTTTACAAGGGATTCCTTGCTTTACGAATTTTACGAGGGCAACCAACGCTATGCCTGAGACTTTTGCTGATTGACATGGCTTTGGGCCGATTAGTCCTTGGCGTCGGCTTGAAAGTTGAGGGCTTGACCCTGGAAAAACTTACCCCAAACATTCCATAAAAGATCAGCCCCTCCCTCACATACTCTCCATCTCTGCCTTTGTCGGGGTCGCCAGCAGCTCTTGCTGCTGTTCCAGAAACCATTGAGCCCGCTCACGTGGTGTCATGGTCCGGATCCTCTCCTTGTAGCCCTGAGACAGGGTATGCATGTTGTCAGTACAGTTGTCTCAGAGGATTGCATGTCTGCAAGTTCGAGAGTGTTCCAGAGAGTTAGGGTTGGGTGGCCCTTGTCTTGGCAGCCTCTCGAAAAACTTCCTCCACGAGCTGCTGCCGGACCACATCAGCCAAGTGCCATTCCTCCTGCGAGCCATTTAGACAGTAGCGGCGAATGGGGGCGCCAGCACATTCTATAATCTGCTCTCACATGCTGCCCATAACGAGCGCCCCCGAGAAGCTCGGCAAACATTGAAGCTTTGCATGCTTTGGGAGCTCCTTCTCGCGCCAACTCGCTTCTTGCGCATCCAGCTGGAGCCTCTCTCGGAAGATGTTCTTCCTTCGAGACACCAGAAGCACGTGGCGGGCGGGTCCAAAAAGGTTCAAAAAATCCATGTGGTCATGCTTCAGGTCTAAAGCAGCCCTGACCGGGACCTGATGGTGTGGATGTTCTTCGGTACGACCCGCTGCCGCACAGTCTTGTCCGCCATGTGGCGCGGGTCCTCCAATTGATGGGTTGCACTGACGGCTGCTCGTTGTTCACACCGCCTTCTTTGCCGCAAGAACACCCCGACTTGGCATCTCTCTGGTCTGAAGCGTGTGTGCAAAAGGAAGTCTTACCCTCTCGGGGCTGGGGTACGTGACAAAGAGACTGTGTTCAGCAAAGTGGCGAAGGTTCTCCCCACTACACCTTGTTTTCGGGCAACTCTTCGCACAACCCTCAGCCCCACTGAGACAGTACAGTAACTCCGAAGTGGACCGTGGTAAACCTTGCCTGCAGGAAGGGCTGAAAGAGTGGGGCATGGGGTGCTGCACGGGAGCACTGCCGCGGCACGACAGAACAGGGGCAAGTGACTGGCGGGAAGACGCCGTGCTTGGTTGCACTTCCGCAAGTTACTAAACACTATAGCTAAACACTACTTACTACAGCCGGTAACGCCTCGGCCTCTGAGAGGCATCTGGAGAAGCAGACCCAGGCCTGGTCTCCCTACACCAAATTCGCTTGGGGCAACTGCCGGGCACCCAAATAGGAAGGCCTTTTTGACCCAAAACCATACCCAAGTGTCAACAAGCCCACGATACCTGGCACATGGAAACAAACACACGAGCACAGACAACAAGTGCATCGAAGGTTTCGCACAGCCTGCTGACACTGCAAGCCCGCACTGCCGAGCAAGGCACACAAAGGCTTCGGCTTCAGGGTCCTCCAGCAAGCCTGCCCGTCCCCAAAACTCGACCCGCGTCGCCAACCGTGCGGACTGGAAACTCCGAAGTGCGCCGCTGGGACTGCCGCTTTGCGTGAAACTTGGCACCCCGTGGTTCGTGCCCAAATGCAGCAGCCAAGGCACCATAAAGAGGGACTTTGACAGCTCTCGGCTAGGGTGAGCATGTGGCTTTACTTCGTACCTGAGGCTGCAGGTGAACCTCAAATAGCAAGAGAATAGTGTCTCGAGATGTGAGCGACCTGCGTCCGATTAATTGGCTTGAACGGCGACCAGCTGCGCACAACTCTGCCAAAGGGGCTCAATTGATTCATTTTGTCTCCGGCTCTTCCTCTCACGTCGGAACTTCTCCAATGCCTGGAGCCATGCCACCAAGAAAAAACCACTTCTGCTGCAGAGGTTGGAAGGTTTGCAGTCCACCCTTAAGAGCCATTCCGACCGTATCAGTATGTAAGTTCTTGCACTTGCTGCAAAAAAGTCCACGCTGTCCTGCAGGCAGCCGTCCGCACAGCAAGACCCAACACTGTCCATAATGTGTCTGTCCCTCAACAGCCACAGACACAGCTTTGCAAAAGAAGCAAGCAAACGAAGCTGTTTCGAGCCTTGGATAAGACATTCTGCAGGAAGCGATTGCGCTTGACGCGTGAGAAGGCAGATGTCGGGTCCTGGATGTGGGCAGCACACCCACATCACCAAACCCCCGAGCGAAGTATTCATCTGCACCGCTACGACAGCCGGGGGCCCAAAGTCAGCACGAAGGTTCTCCTCCTCTGGTGCATCGTCCGGCCCGGAGTCATCTGCCCATTCGAAGGCACCACGCTGCCCTGCGGAATTCTCCGAGGCAACCTTGGAGCGCTTCGTCGCCGCCTTCTGGGCATTGCCAGCTGTGAGTGCTCTCTTCGTCGCCGGCGCCATGGCACTCCGAAGGACAGAACATGGTCGCAAGGTCTGACGTCGATGTTAAGAATGGACGCAATACTTCCCCACATGTCAAAAATCTTCGGCTATGTCTTGTGCTTGGGCGCACGGTCCTGCAAAGGACAGGTCCCTTCAACAGGTGCTCAGGTGAGAACAGGAGTACAGAAAGAACAGAACAGAAAGCTGCAGGAGCGAAGCATGAACATGCATGCCATGGCCGCCATTTAGCCCCTGGCCATAGATTCTGCAGGCTCCGCAACAATCCACAACCTCTCCCTCTGCGCACCCACTCTCCCATCTCTCCACCGGTATCGGGCGAAGATGGCCAAGACAAGACAAACACTTCCCGAGCCTCTTTCGGTAGCGGCTGGCCGTTAAGGACCCCGGAGGCCTAGCCAGAGACCAGTTCAGAGCAGGTGAATCAGTGTGAACGGGTCAACCCATGCCAGCGCCACCCAGCAGTCTAGCACGTCTCGGAGAATCGCCTTGAGGGAACTGGAAATGCTTCAAGCAAGCTTCAAAGGTCTGGAGAGGTCCAAACAAGCCAAAAGAATGCTAAAAGGGTGGTCAGAGATGTGCAGCTGAAAGATGAATGACCCCGGTCCAACCTACTGTGGATGCGGTCACTCTTCAGCTCTCACGCACATTCACCCTCACACATTTCCAGCATTTCAGGCTCCTCCAAGGCACACTAAAGTTCGCTCCAAAGGCTTGCTGCGTCGCTGAGATGTGTCTCTGCGATGTCTCTGGCCGAACTGCATACCAACACACCCAAGCACAACTTGGCAAACCCAAGGGTTGCATCCCATTATATCACAAAACGTGGGACCGTCCGTGGGAGTGCACCTTCTTCGCTATGCTTGTTCACACGGTGCCGGCATGCTGTGGGTCAAAAACCAACAACAAAAACAAAAACCCGAGACTCTCCAATCAAAGTCGGTGAATGGCTCTTCTTTTTTCGCCCCCTGTTCTGGGTTTGTTGGTAGAGGACAGCCGTACCGCTAGAACAATGCCTGCATGTCTTTACACGAGAGACATCTAACAAGAATCACAGCAAAAGAATGTGCACTCCTAGTGTCCCTCGGACTGTCCCTCGGACTCTCCCTCGGACTCTGGTTCTGTTCAATGTCTTCCTCCGCAACACCGTCACCTCACTTCATCAACTCTTTCTTTAGTGCTCATCAGGCTCGCCTTCTCCTCCACACAGATACCCGTGCTTGAGACCTGCAGCGAACCCCTCTCCAATTCAGATGCCTCCTGCATATGCATGGCTATTGTGGTCAGCCGACCCCTGGACTTGCATGTGCATTCTGAGCCCATTGCCGTGGACTCGCCTGGGACCACGCACCGGATCGCAAGAAAGACCTTCCTGGGCGGCCAGAAAGCTATCTTAAAAAAGATGCGTGGCGTGGAGAAGGGCGAGCCTTGTGCGTGAGCGTGTGGAAACCCAACTACACACTTGACGTGATGGGCTGAAGAGTCGTGGGTCCCAGGTCATTCTGCGTCCGAGGCACCGATTGAGAGAGAGCACTTTTTCCACACGCCTGCTTACAGAGCGCGAGTGCTGTAGCCAAGCGGTTCGCATTGTTCCGTTCTGGAGCAAGACGGAGTTAGGGCAAGGAAGCCCTTTCCACGGTCATGCTTCCCGTGTCGACAGGAATGGACAAGAGACTCAACCGGCTCCAGCCTCTTCTCCTTGCCCTGAACGGCAGGCTTGGTTGCCTTGGGCTTCTCCTGGCTTGGACGGAACCGCTAAGCATCTGCAGCACGCGAAGTTGCTTGAGTTTTGCTTCGGCATCCCTGCACTTCGCTACATCAATCGCTTCCGCTTGCCTTCAGGTCCTTCTTGACCCTCCTGGTGGCCTTGTCTGTGTCGGGTCGATCACGGATCTTTGGACTCTTGACCACCTTGACCTTCGATATCCTTGGGCTCCTTGGGATCCTCAGTCTGCAGGCAGACTCGAAGTAGAACGCGGGTATACCTTGTTTACAAAGTTCTCTAAGTTATTAAGTTATGCAACAGAACTTGCAGGGAACGCTGTTCACCCCCCCCACCGCAGTCCTTGGGCTTCCTGCCACTTTCTTCTCCTGTGCCATACCTGCCCGCATCTTGGATCAGGGAACGAAGCTGTGTGGCCTAAGCTTTCAACTGTCGATGTTGCGACTCCAACACAAACGTCCGAGACAACAGCCGACAACAGCCTTGAACTGTAGGAACGAAAGAGATCCCCAAGCACGAAGCCTTCGCGACCAGCGCAAGCCGCCACAATGCGGCAGCTGAACCAAAGTTCACAGATGAACGATGTACGATGGCGACTTCTCTTCATCTTCAAGGCAAGACCCAACACCAAAACACACACACACACACACACACACACACCACAGAGACAGTTGCACATAGTCGCACATGGGGGGCCGTGGTGGCGTCGTAGGGTTTGGCTTTAGGGGTTTACCGCTTCGGGCTTACGTTCAGTGTCCAGGGTTGCGCTTTAGGTATGGTTTAGGATTTTGGGATTTCGCGATTTAAGGAGCTAAGGATTTAGGGTTGAGGGGCGTTCCGACTCTCGCACTCGCGCACGGCAGGCTTTAGGAAGGCTTCAACTCTCACCGCAGCAAGCAAGGCTTGGGGTTGAAGGTGTTTTTGGTTTTGGGACGGTTTATTGCACGTAGACACGGACATAAGCACAGACGTAGATATAGATTTAGTCTTGGATTCCTCCTTATTTGGTATACACATGCATACTCTGACAGCAGAGCCTAAACTTTTCCCACATATGAGGCAGTGGTTCCATGTATGGGATGTGGATTTGAAGGACAAGATGCGAAGAATCCTGGAACCATAGGCCCCTAAACCCCCATTAAAGCTTTTTGCCACACGCCAACCAATCATTTCTCCTCCTTCTTTAGGAAAAACAGCCCTGAGCCGCTGTGGGCACGTTGACTCAATTCCTTCTTGTGGTGGGCCCAGGTATCTACTGGAGACCTTCACCAGAAGCGCGCTCTGTACTTGAAGCCGTCAGGCTTCAGCATGCGGAGGATGCAAAGGCGACATATCAAATCGCAACCATTCTACGCCAGGCACAACAAGTGAATCAGGACAAACTTCCGCAACTGCAACCTCGACAAAACCTTCAAAACCTCCAACCTGATCACCCCGCATTTGCAGGATCGAAGCAACCTCCAATTATGAATTTTCATCTTCCGCTCGGCCAGCAGGAACTTTGTTTCACTATGGCCCGAGGGGGGTTCAAAACAAGGGCAGCAAGCAAGACTCCATGCTCTCACTCAGGCGATAGGACGTGTTGCAGCTGGTGGCTGAGGCAGTCCTCGTCACTGAAAGCAGAAACAGAAGCCACGCAAAATGTGCACTTTGCAGCGTAGCCACTACTTGGACAGACGAAGCAAATATGACCGCGCACTTGGCACTCTGCGTCCTCCCCCCTGATGTCACAGAGGCAGTATGTCGCACGAGCCTGGAAAAACTTAAAGCATTGATCCAGAAACGCGTAGGCGACATCTGTTCAGCAACTGTCAAAAAATCGCCTGGGCAGACACCACTACTGCGGGTGCTAGACAAAGTAAGGTGGAAACAAATAGGAGGCAGATTTAAGACTTACAATCAATTCGTCCCAGGCATGGGCCAGGTAGATCCGAAACAGCCAAAGCCCTGTCCAGCCCTTCTCCGATCCCGAACCCCATAAATCCCATAAACATCCGGCCTGCAAGAACGTTTGGGCTGCATCTTCGATGACATTATAGCAGATAACCAACAAGATCGGGGCGAAGATCCACAAACCGACCTGGATATGGCCGACCCAGGAATTCTGGAATGCGGTTTGCTAATTCTCGCCCTGTGGAAATGATGTTCTGGAGCTCCGTGTCGAGCCGCTGTTGAGCGTGTGAACGAAAGCATCCGATCCACACAGGCAACGGAGCGGCCGTGGATGGACTTGCCTGCCAGCTTACAAAGATGTGCAGATACCCTCTCGTCGTTGGATGACCGGAACAGCTCGCGGAGTTTAGGGTCACAGCTCAGGTTCAAAGATGTTCAGCCTTTGGAAGTGCATCCCAGTCACATCTGCGGATAAGAGCCGCATCTGTCTCAGAGGCGAAAGCTTCGAAAAGCCTGAAGGGATCTGAGGGGCGGAGAAACTAGGTGTGCCTCAATCATGGCCTCAAGATTATGAATACGCAAGGCTTCTGTGCGACGATGCTGGTCATATGTTTGTTCATGCATTCCTTCTGGCTAAAGACATGGGAATAGGAAACGGATTCGCGCACTGGAAGAACCTATTCACGCACTTCACAGACCAGATTCGCGCACTGAAGCGCGGATTCGCGTGAAACGGCAGGTTCACGCACCGGCGATGGCTGATTCGCACACTGAGATGGCGGATTCGTGCACCAGCTGACCCGCACATGACCCGGGATCGCACACTGACACGGCCCTAAAAACTCTAAAACCTAGCAGGTGTCTGACCATGAATACTGTCAGCCCTGAAGCCCCTGAGTGCTGTGAAAGCCTTAAAACCCTTGAAGCCCTAAGAAAACCCTTGGCCGGAAAACCCTGATTGGCGTGCAAATCCCCAGCCTCAAAACCCTAAAACCTACATTGAAGCCCAAGAAGGTATCTAATGAAGGAAGCTTGGGAAACCCGAGACCATGAGAACCCTCAGCCCTCAAAACCCTGATTGGCATGCAAAACCCCCAAACCCAAAAGCCTGAAAAGAAAACACCCTCAGCCTGGAAAACCCTAATACACCTTTAAGTCGACAGTCTAGCTGGGGTGGTACCAGTAGCAGGGCCCAACTGAATTCGTTGGAAGGGTAGGAAAACCGGAATCGCTGGTGCTTGAGTCGGGAAGGAATTGCGCTGGAATCGTGCCTGCTCAGCAATCAGCAGTGCTTGAATCCAGCATGCTTGGACCGGTGCTTTGCTTGAATCGCGCCATACTTGCATCGCGCCATACTTGAAGCGTGCATGCTTGGATTCGCAGTGCTTGAACCGCGCTTCGAATCGGAGTTTTACGTGAAGAACTTTGAAGGCGTCCATGCGTGTGCAGTGCCGCACTTGCTCCTCTTAGCATCTTGCATAGCCATTGGCTGTCAAGCACATCCTCTCAAGCCACACACGACCTGTGAACGTTCGGCACAACAGCCAAAGCCAGAACACCTAGCATTGCCAGCACTTCTAACACAACCAACGTCGAGCGACATCTCGTCCACTGTGACAAGAAAGGTCAAGGCCAGGCTGTTCCTGAGGACAATCTCCGCCCAATCTCCAAGAATGGTAAACTTTGAAAGCCGCACGAGAGCTACTTACGATAAGCGAACAACTACTCCAAGATAACCGAGTGCTGCCAAGCTTCAGGATCAAGTCGGAAACGTTCCGAACAGACAGGAGATACTTGATTCCTTGCTGAAAGGCTCAAAGGTCCAACTGACGGAGGTAAACACAGTTCTCCAGCTCTCAGCAACTTGAAACCAGACCCACCAATGCATCTAGGCACCAACATAAAAGATCAAGCATTGCAGAACCTGAACACAGCACCAGGACGGAACAAGACATGCAATGCATGACGCGTTACTCCGATCACAAAAGCTTTTTTTTGCCTTAGGAAATCGAATCTGGTTACATTCTCGACCCGATGCGCTTGAAGAATAGCCAAACCATCTTTCTTTGAAGAGTTGCCCTTGATGCGCGTTGTATGTTGCGGTGTTTTCCTGAGCAAATACAGCAGATGAATTGGGGAAGGATAGGTGTCAAGGTTAGTCGGCGGTACGGAAGGATTGACACCTACCCCCCACAAAACTAAAAATCTCGCCCGAGCGATTGCTTGCATCGACTTTTAGTAAGATGGGCGACGTTCAAGCCTCAAAGCCTCTCTGCTCAGGGCTTGCCAATGTCTTCAGACAGGAATTGTTCCTTGCTCCGTCTTCTTTTAAGCTTGAGAACCTTCGTGATTCATTCCTGGGCCCGAATTGAGGTGCAGACTTCATGAAGGATCTACTGACAGCAGCCATCATGTGATCCCAGACGCTGTTCGCGGCAGGAGGTTCAGCGAGATGTTGATCCAGCGGCTGCGGCCTTGGGTTTCTCTAGCGAGCCCCAAATGTTCAGTGGTGACCTGGTGCAAAACCAAGGCTGCGACGATGTATGCCACAGACCTGCCGTTTGCCACGTGCTTTCAAGCTTTCCCACAGCTCCCTACTCTGACGCACTGCTGGCTCCAGCATGCACACCTAAAACCACCGAACCACCACTACTTCCACAAATCGCCGTGGCCGTGGGAAACAAGTGGCCCCACTCTCACAGCAGCCCAATAAGGTTTGGGGTGTGGGGGCATGGGGCCAGAGGGTCACCGGGTTCAGGGTTCATTTTTCGGGTACGCCATCAACATCTCAGTTAGGCTTGGTCGCTCAATGTCTCCTCCTCTTGGGGTTTGCACCCGACGCCTGTTCCCACGCTCACACTAGCATGTAAGGCAAATCGGTCACTGTTCCAAGGGTGCTGATCTGTTGAGGGCTCATGGCCTTCCATGCAGCATGTCCTTTTGAGATCGTCCTTTTGCGGCCTAGGGCTTTCCACCCAACATCTTCTTGGAGGCTTCCCGGCCCCAACTTCGTCCCCTCCCCCCCCAACCGAGGTTCCCAAACAGAAGCTTTAGCGGACTGTGAAGCAGCTCAACAACATCAACATGGTTGTAGCCGGTTGCAGCCCGCCTCCAAATTGTTCTCGCCGTCCTCCTCGACCTGCCATCCAATGTATCCAAACCACCCCTCAAACAACATCAACAAAGGGCAGGTTCCTGCAGTTCCTGAAGTTCCCTAACGCATCAAAGTGCTCTGTTCAGTGCAAGTGTATTTGGCCCGCTCTAATCCAAGGGTTGCTTCTTCAGGGAACATAGGCAGCCGCTCTTCCTCTCCAAATGCAACCCACAGCAAACTCCTGCAAACTCCACTCTCCATGCCACAGAAACTGGCCTTGCCCATGATGCATGGTTGCGAAAGCGGTGGAAGTGCCAGCAAAACATTCCTGATCCGATGGGCATTGCTGAAACCGGTCGTTGTGCCTGACCCTTTCTTTGGCATGCTGCCAGGAATCCACCAAACCAGAATGCAACGGAACTCTTCCACCGCTGCCAGGCCCCAAAGAAGCCTCAGACAACGCGTGGCCGGGCTATGGAATGCTTACATGCACAAAGCTGGCATCTCAGCCCCCGAAACTTCCCTGGCGAAGGAGCACAATGAGCAGAAGGAACATCCGAAACTTCATGGATGTGAGGCCGAAGGTGGGATCGCTGTAGATATCACTTGCCTGCGCCATGCCATTAGCGCTCTGTAACCAACCCCATCCCTGTGGAGAGGGCAACCATCGAAGTGGCATAGGCGTTTGCTCTAACAAACTCCTCGCTGCGCACTGATCCGTCAGCCCTTCTCAGGTACCCCTCCCTCAAGGCGAGAATATATTCGTGAATCTCCAGTTCCCACCCTTGAGACATACATCCAAAGCCGAGGACAACGAAAGCTTGCCTGGATTGACGCCAAAACATGGACTAGACTGACTAGACAAACCGCACGCCGCCGCCGCCACCACCACCACTGCCACCGCCCCCCCCCCCCCCCCCACATCCCCCACACCCCCCCCCCCCCCCCCCCCCCCCCCCCCCCCCCCCCCCCCCCCCCCCCACCATTAGACAAACGCATGTCCTGTCGTGAATGTCGCGCAACACCTCGAAAGATGTTGCCTAAGTCCTAACTTGTTTGGTTTTGAACCCGGAGTTTGCTCCTGAATGGCAGTAGCAGCACTCTCACTTGCACACCGAAACACCTGCTGGACACACCAGTTTGCAGCCCTGATAAAACGCCTTTACGAAAACTCCTTGTGATGAGTGGAAAAGGCTGCATACCCAAGCTGCGCGTCGAATGGCAGTCCGCGAAGTAAACGGTTCAATCAGGCGCCTGATAGACCACAGTCCTCCTCACAGTACCTTCCTGGAGTGACAAGGTGGAACGGAGAAACGATGTGAACACGCAGCGGCTACTGTTACTCCCGATGCAAGAATACCAGCAGAACGCTCGTGCCCCGGATACTTTGCAAAATAAAGGCAAGGCCATGGATCAACTTGGCTTGTCTTCCTCCCGCAGACATCACTGCGTCCCTAGCTGAGCCAGTATGGGCGTACTGTTTCTTCAGACGAGAGCCAAGGTGAGGTGAAAGACGTAATGGCAACCCTCAAATCCTGAAGCCCGCGACCCCAATATCCAACCCAGCAACACGGCACAAGATTAATCAAAACATCCATGCTAGACTTTTACCAACCCTGAGCCAACTGTGAAATCTCATGATGGCAGCTGCTTCCTTGAAATGGCTTGACTGGAGCGTGAAGATATCCGGCAGAAGGACGCCACGCTCTTTTTGCATAACTCCTTCAGCAACCATCTAATAGCCCTCCCAGCCCTTCAAGCCTTCCGCTCGCCCAAACCGCCCAACACCGCTCGGACCTTCTTTACGGCCAAAAACAGCATGGGGTGGAATTTGTGGAATAACCCTCACCCTGCGCTGCATCTGGCTCCCGGGAAGCCTTTGACGCCTCCAGTGTGGGGCGCAATTCGAGAAATCATGCGCAAAAGGCTTGAAACAAACCGAGCCAACAGTGATCGAGTGCTCGGGGAAGTGAAAGAAAGAGGTTAGCGAGTGTCCTGAAGCCTGGGTGGCCGACGGCTGCTAGCACCAGCTCCAGACAAACAGGGCGAAGGACAGATCACCCAAGCCGACATATTCTTATGTCGCGTTTCCAGACTGGTTTGTTGTGCTAATGCGACCCGCGGCCAGCTTTGAGATCCTTGAGAGTTATGAAGCCAGATGCTTCGACTTGTGCAGCTTTTGGCACTTGCTGCACGCAGCTGCACCATGTGCTGTTGAAGCCCGCGAACACTCATGGTAGGGAGAAGAAACACAAATGCGCCAACAAAGCAGTCTTGAGCAAACAACCACCGGAGGGTAGTTCACCGTAATCGGACGAAACGCAATGCTTTAGCAAAGGAACCACACATAGCAAACACACAGACCAAAAATTGCAGATGTGCAAACAAAAATACAACGAAAGGATGCAGGTCCCGCATGTTGATATCGTCGAGGGTGTCAATGCCAAGGTGTTGGAACAGCAGGGGCTTGGAAAAAGGAACCGACTCGTTCCAGTAGCCAGCATGGCCACGCAACCTGGGTCTCACGAACTGCAATACAATGGATGAGGCGCCGCAGGCTCTCGAAAGGAAAAACCTCGAATCTGACTGACGCCCGAGATGCATCTCAACGTCCATGCTGTCACAAAGATCCCCATCCTGTCGAGGGGCAAGCCGAAAAGATCTAAAAACCTGCAAACTTTCCAAACCTGACGTGCCCATCCTCGTACGTGACCTGATGCCCTATTTTGCAGCAAGGGCACTGGCAGGAGCAGAAGCCGACGAAGGGTGCTAACTCTCTGGCATAGAGATCCTTCATGTTTTCTAGCGACAAAGCAAAGCAGGTTCCAGTGTTTTTTGCGGTGTGCCTTGTCAACTTCGAAGGCAGAAAACTGTCAAAGTGAATCATGCCCTGACATTTAACATCAACCACACTTGCCCAACCACTGCACTTCCCACCTCTGGGATGAACGTGAAGTTTCGCATGCAAGCAGCCTGTCAAGCATGAAGCGGCTAGTTGTGAAGCGTTTCAGTCTTGTCTGGAAGTCGCACTTCTGCTGCCACTGGAAAGCAGCATCTTTGAAGCAGCGTCGTGGGAAGTACCAAAATCCATGAATCATCCCATTCAGTTACTAGCATGCAAGACTTTCCTTCATGAGCTGGCGCCCTGAGGCATTGGTTTCTTTGCTCTCAAGATCCGCCGCAGGGGTATTCGGGTTTAGGGTCTAGGTATCAATGAAGGATCCACATGCTATTGAAAGTGTTGTTCGTGTTCGCATGCTGTACTTGCAAGGCTCAAACAGCCTCCCCAAACACCCCGCTGCTTTTGAAGCCCCCCAATCTTGCTTTCAATAGCAAGATGCCCTGGCAGATTTTGCTTCGCAAATTCGTCGTGCCAGCGTCAATTGGGGGCAACCCTCTTTGTTTTGCAGCCGTGCAAGCTTGCAGTAGAGAGAATCACACCGCTAAGAGGAAGTGCTTCGAAAAACATACGAGCCCTCGTCGTGATACGAGCATTGTGTTCACAAGTGGGGGCAGGTCCCGGGCCCCGACCCCATCCGCATCCCACCCGTCGGGCTAGCATTGTGTGTGACACCCACTGCTGAAGAGAATCCTCCTGATGGCCAGAAACCTAAACTCGCTTTGAAAAGTTGATTAGTAGACAATGCTCGAGCATCTTGCTCCGTCTTGCATTCTTTCTTTCCGCCTGATTTTATTTCGTCCTGTCTTTCTGACTTTTTAGCCTTGTCCATCTTTCCTTCTGAATTACTTCTGAATTCTATGATTGTTTCAGATATTGATGTATCTCCTTCGTTTCTTTCTTTCCGTCGTTTTACGTTGTTTTTCCTTCCGCCGACGTCCAAAGTAAGAGGGATGGGTTTTTTTGAAGCCACCCTCGCCTAGGGCGCAGGGCAGGCGGGGCCGCGCTCGCCGTCCGAAATGCGAAACGGTCGTCGCGTTTGGACTTGTGGGCTCACATGGTCTCTCACCTGTTCGGGGTCTACACTGACTAAAGGTCTTTCTTTCTCTCGTTCTCTCCTGCTCTTCTTTTTCTGTGTTCCTTTCCAACTTTGCCCCTAACAAACCAAAAATCAACCCGCCCCCCCTCCCCCGGCTCCCGCGCTTTACGCAAGAATTGCATCTTCTTGTCTTCGGAACTAAGCTTGTAGTGCTTGGACAAGCTGCTGCATTTCAAGCTCAGTCCAACGCGTGTGAGCAAGCATGTTCTTCCTCATGAGTGTGGGCTTCTGAGATATTTCTCAATGGTTGTATGGAAGCTCTCCTACAATACAGGCCCACTGAAGTTTAAGTTCGGCTTTGGGTATGCGGTTTTTCGGGCCTCGGGATTTAGAATGTAGAATTTTAGGGATTTGTGGTGTGGTTGGGGGAAGCCCCGTTTGCAACTTCAAGATTGGGACCGTGCGCGCTTTGGCATTGAGGTGCCAATGGTGTACAAGCCGGGGTAGGCACATGCAATTGCTACATTGGGTTTTTTAATGAGCAAGACGTCAGCACCACCAAAAGCAAGGCGGGCAAGGGGTCAAGCAGTGAGGCAGCCCCCGTTACCTCCCCGTTCCCGAAACATGCAAAGAGCTAGCGGGCACCTGGCTCTCACTGCTATGTGCCTGCTGCACGCAACTCCTGGGATTTCTTATAGGCGGGTGCAAACATGAAACCAAGAAAACCATGCAGTTCAACATGCACCAAATGATAGAACTCAAACAACAATCGGGTGTTCCTCACATTGCAACAGTCTACGACATACCATAAAAACGAGTTACAACCCACATTCCTTGGAGCCACGTGTCCTGTAGCTTCTTGGCTGAGTCACCACATCCAAGGACAGGTTGACGGGCAAGTGGCCAATTCCAGCCAGGGCCAAGCTTGTGGTTCCACCCCCACAGAGGCAGCAAAGCTTTGCTACCTGCTGACAATCGGAAGCAATCAAGCGGAACCAGCGCAAACAATGCTGCAAGCTGTCCTGGAAGTCGGCGTCGTCATACCGCCCTTCAGCACATTCCCCGTAGTACTCGTCATAGTCCACGCATGTGGACCACTCGGAATCAGTGGCCCCGGCATCCGTATCCACGCACTTCGGAACACTGCATCTGAAGAACGTATCACCAACAAGTTTTCGCAGCTCGCTTGCTTTTACGGAGCCTGTCGCGTTGTCGTCGTGGAAGCGAACACGGGCTTTCCCGCTGCTGGAGATGGCCATCAGCGTGGCATCATACCAAAAACCGTCATCCGACCAGAACGCTTGTAGCGAATCATCGATTTTACAAGGTAAAACCAAAGCTCGCGCATGAAGCCAGAGCAGTTTAAAAACACGCTGATACCTCGGATGCACCATGGAACAATCATGAAAGCCGTGGCTCGCGAGGCAAGACGTCACAACCATATGGCAAGGTCACCAAAGAGTATTTGCTAAAGTCTCCGGCCAGAAATTGGGGCCAGGGAATTGGGTCTTATGTTTTCAGGGGGTCATCCGAACAACTTCAGTCAAGGATAAGATGGTACATGAAGTAAACACAAAGGGGGGTAGAAAAAAAAACACAAAAAAAATTGGACACTGAGCATCCAAATTCCGCACACTCGCGCAGAACAAGAGAGATCAACCCACGCCTTTTCAGCTCACGCTCAAACAAGAAATCCCCGTGCAATGTCAGGACTTGCATGGTGAAAACCTCATGACAGGAATGGATTTATAAAACACTAGGACCATGACTCACAGCAATTAAGAAAAGGCGCACCCAAGACATGCGAACGTATCGTCCAGCCAAGCTCTCATAAAGCGAGTCCAGCCGTTGAGCCTCACATAAGGCCACAACAAGCGCAAACTTTCAGATAAACATAGCAGCCTCCTCGTGTGTCCACATGCCATCCTTAGACACGACACTGCCCACAAAACCGCCGTCTCCGCAAGCAAACGCAAGCCACGTGTTCTCGAGGAAGCAATCTAGCCAAGCATCCCCATCCAGATCCAGCACACTGAAGTTTGTGAACAGCGTGACCTGGACATGGACATGGTGTTGTTTACTTTCTCTGGTTTGACCAGCGTGCAGCATGTCCTTGTCCGTAGTCCCGCCCGCTGTGTGTTTGCGAGCTGTTGGCGGCATGCCATGAGCTTTGATTCTGTCTCTTCGTGCGAAATGCACAGCAGCAGCTTCATACTAGCAATAAGAGCGCTATGACGCCAACAACCACGTTGAAGCTTTGGCAAGCAGCAAATTGTCATAGTATGTCTCGTGCATCACATTTCTTCGGGTTTGTCATCTGCCGTGTTGCTCATGTTTTGAAGGTCCACAACTCAAAGTGCCGCCTTGCAGACGTTGCAGTCTCATACGATGGCTCCTACAGTTCAAAGCCTTTCTGAGAACAGGAAACAAACAAATTGTTCCGCCGCTGCGTCGGACCGCTTTGTAGCTTGCTGTTTGGCATGTGGAAACGGGACCGACTTTACGAAAAGTACTGCGAGACATCTGTACAGCGAACCAACACATTCGAACATCACACGGCATGGAACCAAACGTGCAACGGACATATCTGGAGTTTCCAACAGGGTTCCTTTTTCTTTTTTAGCAGCTGTCCTGACCCTGATTGCGACCATGCTCGAGTTGCGAGAGCTCATGCTGGGCCAATTTTTCATGATGCATCATGCACTGCCTTAGCGTGGGGCGGCAAGCACAGCACACAAAACTGTATACTGCATACCCATTTGCCCCAACTCACCAAAGCCATACAACGAAAAAACAATGGCAAAAACAAACAAACACCTGCCACAGGCACGCCAAACCACATGCAACAGTCTACAGCAAGGCATGCCACCTCATCTGGGGAACAGCTCAAACCCAACTGGCCGTGATGGAATCGCGCATTCACGTCTGCCACTTCAAAACCTCAGATGGTGAAAGTCTGCACACAACCTGGTGCCCCCCATCCCACAGCACAACCCGGCTGAGCAACACAAACTGGAGGCTCCATTCCCGGAGCGGTCCAACAACGCGGTAGCTGCATCTCGCTCCTTATATGCTTCCAGCATTGTGGCCAACACACGAGGCCATTTAACAAACGTCTCCACGCAGAAGCTAAACACGCACATGCGCCTGCCGAGACACGGACCCATTAATCTTTTGCCACAGTAGGTAGACAACGACATACTGTGCAAGGAAGTTCAGCACCAGCAACAACCAAGGCTTCAAAGCCAACCGGCCTGGCAGCAAGAACTCAGGTGTGCACCACGTGCAACACGTTTTGCTAGTTTTTTAGGATCACATACGTTGGCATGTGAATGTATGTATACATATAATTCCATAATATATATGTATATATATATATGCAAACATGCGCCTGAATCACTTTTCAAGAAGGAAAGCAGGAAGTTGTCATAGGCTGACCTCGCCGGCTCCTCGCCACCAGCGTTGCATGAAAACAAGCCAGCAACCAGAGTTCACAACGACCACGGAAACAGTACCAAAGTCTTGTTTTGTGCTCGACTGTTGGTTGCCGATGTTACCACAAAACAAACAACATCAGCTGAATTGGCCCGTCCAACCGACAGGTTGATGCCAATTTGTGCGACCCAAGCGGCTAGGTCACTATAGCGCCTGCATTCACTATCGTTCGGAACCGTACGTCCTGGCAGTGAAGCAACACATGTTTTGTAGAGGTTTTGGGGACAGGGCAAACATATCGAAACGCACCTGTTGATTGGATGGAATCACTCGCGACGCTGGCGTCTTGGTCGTCTGCCATAGAACGGAAGGTAAAAATGGGTCTACTGCACACCGCTTATGTGAACCAACCGCGGCTGCCACGAAACCTGAGAAGGCAGACTTGATCGACTCGCGCGGCTTCTTCTAAAAACTCAACAATCACGATTCCTTTCCTGCACTGTCTGTCTATGTCGCTACCATGTGCCGAACCCGTTGTCAACTGCACGGCCGTGTCCAACTGAGCTTACAAATGTTTTACCTGGTTCGAGTACATCGCCTCGTAACTTCGACATCCCGTGCCGACGCTGCGGACAGTGCCCGTCTTCGCAAGCAGCTTTCAACACATCCGGGCTACAGCGGCCCGCCTGATGACTGCGTCCGCGCAAGCGCGTGGAAGCTATTTTGCTTTTCCTGCTTGCACCTCGCATGCTCCTGGCGCGGCCAGCCGAGCAGGGTGTGAGCAGTTTAAGTACTTGGCTCACGTTTGATGCCTTACATGTCATGACATCCGTGAATCAAGAGTGATTGCATATGATTGCATCAGACTTGCCTTGGCAACGCCTTGGCTCAAGTGACCGGGTGAAAAAAGGCTTGCTACGTCAAAGCTGTGCTTGATTGAGCTGTGACCAACACAGGGTTATCAGCCGTAGCTGTAGGTGCCATGGCGACGGACGATGTGACATCAGGACGCATTTACATTAAAGATCTGCCAGAGACTGGTTCTGATTATGAGGGCTGGCGCTTCACTTTGAAGAGTCAAATCTTGCATGTAGCGCCGGACCCAGTGGCAGCCATGGCTTACATCAGAGAGCTTGATGATGAAGCGGTTTCCTTTGGCGATTTGGCGTCAAACTTGTCCGTAGACGTGAACAAAACAGACGTGAATGTTTTCGCAGCGGTGGTTGCCGCATGTCAGAAGGGCAAGAAAGGACCGGAGATCCTCAAGCTGATACAATCACGTGCACAGTTTGGTTGTGGTCGTCAGGCTGTCCGCATCGTTGATCAGCGGCACTTGCATGAGTCAACGCATTTAGCCACGGAGGCTAACACCAAGATCCAAGAGCTCAGTTGTTCTGGATTGTCGGAGCTTGACAGCTACATGGCATCTTTTTCGTTGCTTCGTCACCAGATGGGTTCCGGCGAGCATAAGCTCACGAATCTCAAAGACATCAAAGAAATGGATGCCACTTTTGCCGTTTTCAATGCCAGCAATTCTGTGGATTTAGGCGCCTTGATCTATGCCATCAACGGTTTGATTGCACATCACTCGGAAGAGATAGAAAGGCGAAAAGCGCAGAAAAAGGCTGCAGCAGCCAAGGCCGCTGCTGCCGCAGCGGCAGGCGGCAAGTCTCAGGGAGGCAAGCGCAAGCACAAGAGCAAGAAAGGCAGTGACAAGCCGTGTGAACATTGCCACAAGCCCGGACACACAGCGCAAAAGTGCTGGTTGAATCCAAAAAGTTCCGCTTACAGGCCGGACTTCGCGGCCAAAATCAATGGCAGCAGTGCCTCTTCGTCCAATGGTGGGCCGTTTGCGCCGCCTGGCTTGGGAGCTGCATCCATTGGGGCTCGGACTGGGCCTGCAGTTCCGACAGATGTCCTCACCAAGGCGTTCTCGGAGTTCCTCACCAAGCGGTTCGGTGGTTCCGCATGGTTTGCCGATATTATCGGGCCGAACGCACTTCAGCAGTTTGCGGGCGCAGCGTGGGCTCTGGATTCTGGGGCCAGTCAATTTTGCATCATGGGCGAAAATGCCGATGATGCCATGTGGGAAACCGTGCAAAGTGCAGACTGTGACATCGACACAGGGGCTGGGACGGCTCGGCCAACAGCAATGGTAGACGCCATGGTTCCGCATCTAGGGCGTCGCTCGGCTATGGTGATGCCGGAGTCAAAAATCAACATGGCATCGATGGGCGAAACTTGCGCTGAGATGGGGTATCATTTTTACTGGCCGGCGTGGTCGGAACAGCCGCATTTCTGGCGTGATGGTGGTTCCAACGAGGTGCCGCTCACCATGGTCAATCGAGTCCCATTCTTGTTAAGCGCTGTGGATGCTGGTCCAGCAAGCATGCACGGGGATGTGAGCGACACGGACTTGAACGACTTCTTCGCCAGCATGTTCCGGGAGTTCTGCATGACCCTCAGTGGGGCGGAACTCGCCAGTCTTTCGGTTCCCCTGGCGTTGGCAACGCAGACGCAACCCGCGGATCAACATTGTTTGGCTCACTTTCCGAAGGACCCCACTTGCGAAGTGTGCTTGCAAGCGAAGATGTGCCGCGCGCCGGCGTCCCGCAAGAAACAATCCGTGGATGATGACAAGCAGACAGCCCGCGTTCATGGCGAACGCATTCACTGTGATCTTGTCGGCCCCACGCGCCCCAGCATCAATGACGAGGTGTATGCCATGATTACTCATGATGATGCTACGGGGTACCCTGCCGCACGTGCTTTGCGCACCAAGCAAGCCTCCGAAGCCGCTGCCGCTTTCGACGACAGGTATGGGAACCAGGCGGTGTCAGCAGTCCGGACAGACAATGGTGGTGAATTCCAAGGCGAGTTTGCTGCCAAGCTCAAAGAACGGAAGGTCAGACATGAACGCTCCTTGCCGCGTCGACCGCAAACCAACTCTCGTGCTGAGCGTTTCCACCGCACAGTTGCAGAGGGCATGGCTTGCCTATTTGTTGCGTCTGGTGTGCCCTATGCTTTTTGGACTTTCTGTCTCATGGCTTTCCTCTTTGTCTACGCGCGCAGCCCTGGTGCCAATGGAGCCGAGTCTCCTTACCAGCTCCGCTTCAATCGCCCCTACGATTTGAGCAAGTTGCGTCCCTTCGGCTCCGCTTGCTACTATCTTTCTGAGGAGCATGACAAGTTTGCATCTCGTGGACGGCTTGGTGTTGTGTTGGGTTATAGCCGGCTGCAGTCGTATTACGTCTTGGATTTCGAGCACTACGTCGAAACAAAGGGCGAAGCACGGATTGTACACACACGTGATGTGCGCTTTCCGCCTCAGTTGCGCTGGCCATTTCATGAGCTGGCCACTGATGCAGAGGTCCATTGTCGGGGATGTTTGCTTGGTGTCTCCTCCACGGTAACGTTTGAAAGTGATCGATCTGGACTCAGCACAGTCGTTCGCAGTGGGACGGTTCTCACGACGGCTGCAGCGCTCAGATTGGAACAGGAGCTGGACAAGTTGACAACTGAGCTCGGGAAAATATTCGCTTGTGTCACCAAAATAGTCAAACGCAAGGATCCAGAGTGGGATACAAACGCCGCGCGTGCAGCCATCCGCAAGGAGGCGGCAAACCACGCATCGAAGCGGACTCGGGATTCCGAAGCATGTGAATGGGAAAGTGCTGTGGTGCAGGCAAATCTTATCTTGGGGATCAAGCACTACGAACTCGATCAGTCCCAGCACCGGTTCAAAGCTCGCATAGTTGCGCTCGGAGACAATCGTGCGTGACATCTACGGCCGCCTTGTGGAGGAAGACCAATTGCACAGTCGACCCATTACACTTGAGGGATCGCGGGCGCTGGATTGCTACGCTGGTTTGCAACCCGACGGCGATTGTCAGACTGCTGACGCTGATGGTGCGTACTTGCAAGCTCGACTCAAAGGTCGTCCGAAGGTTATTTGTTTGCCGAGAGAATTTCGCACACAAGCAGAGCTGGAGATGCGATGTCCAGTTCACCTTTTGTACATGGCCATTACGGGCTCACACGTTCAAACAGCGACTGGGAAGATCATGCTGACGAGCGGTTGTTGCTTAAGCATTGGCTGCAAGCTCGTGACATTGAGCGTCCGATCTTCAAAAAGGAATACAACGGACACATTGTGGGCATGGGCCGTTTTGTGGATGATTTCAAGTTGGCGGGGCACAAACCAGTGCTACCACACGCATGGGCTGAGATTTTCGAGTGCTTCGATTTCGCAGACCCACCTCAACCCGTCAGCCGATTTGTAGGTTCCGAAGAAATACTGTCACGTGACCATGCTGATGTTGCCACGTTTCTTGTCAAGCAGGATCGATACCTTCACGCGGAAGTATTTGGATGAGATTGGGGCCTATAGACTTCCACGATACGACACACCAGCTGTGAAGCTCGCGGCCAGTGATGTGTCCAGCATGAATGAAGCAGGTCAGTTTGCCTCAAATTGTGGGACGTGCGTGGGGGCCGGATTGTGGATAGCTCGGAATAATCGTCCTGAGATATCATTTGCTGTCGGATGGTTAGGCCAGTACACTACGAAATGGACCAAAAAACAGGATGCGGCCTTGCATCGTCTCATGGGATATCTAGCAGCTACTCAGTCCTCCGCACTTCGTCTGGTTCTCAATCCTGCTGATGTTCAGCAACGCACTCTGAGACTAGTACTGTGGGTCGACTCTGACTGGGCGACAGATCCTGAAACCAGGCGATCGACGTCAGGAACTGTTTTGCAAGAAAACCAGCACTGACGATAACCTCGCGGATATCATGACGAAAGCGTTGGAGAAGAACGAGTTCACGGCTTTTGGGAGTTCACCCGCATGGTTGAGATTTGCATGGGCTTTTACAGCATGGTTGAGCATGACCTTGAGCAAGTGAATTGCCGATGATTTCGTTGTCATGATTATGCGCATGTGTTTCTTGATTTTTTTTTTTGTATGATCTCATGATTGATTTCTTGATTTTCGTTGGATGCATGAACAGTGCAAATTTTCTAGGCTGTTGATTGATTTGCTTTACACAGCCAGCTTGCGAGCGGTAGCGGCCGCACAGGTCGTACCCATCATCATTTTGCAGAAGCACTCTTTTGTACAGATTTTCTTCGGTGCTGGCGTATTCTTTTCGCAAGATTCAGCAGACGGGACAGAAGTCTGCACACTTTGATTCCATTTTCCTTTGACTGTGATGCCATGCTCGGCATGGGGGCGTTGTGTGAGCAGTTTAAGTACTTGGCTCACGTTTGATGCCTTACATGTCATGACATCCGTGAATCAAGAGTGATTGCATATGATTGCATCAAACTTGCCTTGGCAACGCCTTGGCTCAAGTGACCGGGTGAAAAAAGGCTTGCTACGTCAAAGCTGTGCTTGATTGAGCTGTGACCAACACAGGGCAGTGACGGACGCCGCATCCTTCTGATGCGACACTGATGCGACTCCAGCACTACGAACAAGGGCTGTGGCCTGCGCTCCTTGCAGCTGCGCGCGCCGGCCGGCGAGAAGCGGTCGCCGAACGACGGCGAAAAGCGCCTGGCGCACGTACACGCAGAGGCGAGCTCTGCGCCAAGTGCTGACCGCCGCCGAACTCGCGCCTGGCGATGAAGCGACCCGGGCAGCTTGACCGACCCAGCCAAACGGCCACCGCAGCCACGCGAGCCCATCCCGACAGAGGTGTTGCAGTTCCAACCGCCGACGCCCGCGCACCTGACTTCCACCGCGGTCGCTCGCAGCCTTCGCGAAGCCAAGCGGGTAGTGCGCCCGGCTGTCTGGTGCGTGAGCTGATGACGTCGCAGAGGGAATCGCTTTGACGCGCATGACGGCGATTCGTAAGCCCTGAGGTGTCGTGCGCGGCATTGCGACGGGCGACACGTCGGCTCGTCTCACAATCGCTGGGCGCCGTGGCGAGTGTTCAACAAGGCCACGAGGCCATACCAGTTTGCGCTTCGCACCCGAGCAGGAGTGGATGCGCTGTCGGCCCGACACCGTGCAACCCTCCAAAACGATGCTTCCTCGTCTCGCTGGACGGGCGCGACTGCATCCCCCGTGCCGCGTTTTTGCGCAAACTGTGCGAGGTGGCGCCCGCTCTTTGTGCCTTCCGCACGCGTACATTACAGCCAAGCATGCGAGTACCAGTGGAGGGACGATGATGGGGTCCGCCACGGCATACGCCAGGCGAAAGGATGCGAACAAGGCGACCGCCGCCCCCGCACTTTTCGCCCTCGGGCAACATGAGGCGTGGCGCAGTTACGGCAGAGCGAGTCACTCATGACCCAAGCCGAGCGCGTACCGCTCTGGATCTGGTGACAGGCGAGGTCGAAACACACGCTGGTTTTCTCCGCAAATTTGTGCAAAACGCGTGTTTTCAACTACGAAGGAAGCCCAGCCGCCAGAAATCGCCGTCTTCGGGTCCAAGGTCTGGCGTGGCAGCCTGCCCCCGCAGCAGCGCGGCAGTCCTCGCGCTCGGCAACCGCATCGTCGCACCCGAGTACGTGCCTGGGGCGCCGAAAGGCTCGAAACTGAAAACGTTGCTCCGACAGCTTCCCAAGTTGCCTGACCTGCGGTGCGCGTGGCTCCTCCTCAGCTTCTCCGCCGCACTCCGTGCTAACCATGCACTGCACCAAAACCGGCTCGAGGTGCTAATGGACGCAACATGAGGGGTGTCACTTTTCAAGTGTTCCCATCGTTTCACAGGGTTTTAGCATCAACTATCCACGCTTGATGTTTGTAGGTGTTGCTTTGGGACGAAAGCAAGGCTACAGCACACCCAACGGTTCATTAACTAAGGGGTGTCGCTTTTCAAGTGTTCCCATCGTTTTACAGGGTTTTGGGCTTTCGTGTCCACCCCTTATTTAATTGAATGGCTGGGGGTTTTGGCGCTTGCTCATATGGAGCACCCTAAAAACTTGTTTGGGGGCCGCCGCGGCAGATGAGACATGCCCGCTCGGGACATCGCCTTACTCCCAGCTAGCCTTGGAGGGTTGGGACTGTCGCAGGCCACACGCACCAGCCCCGCGGCGTACTGGGCGGCCTGGGCCGATGCCCTCATTGTGCTGCGTGCACGGTGCCCGGCCTTACGGATTGGGCGGTCGGCTGCCTCGTCAACGAGCGTGGGCCAGCGTGCCTACGGACAGCCTCTGCGGGGCGCGGGGGCTGCTTGCGCTCGAAGGCTGGACGGACGTGCGCCCGACGATCGCAGGCGGCTCGACCTCGTCATCTACGGCGCCGCGCAACTGGGTGGAGTCCTGTGCTGCGACGCGACCCTCGTGTCGCCTCTTACGCGAGATGACACACGGTCGTTCAAGGACATGTCTCTTTCTACGCGAGATGGCGAGCCCCACCCCGGCGCGGCCGCGCAGGATGGAGCTGTACTGCACACTGCCGGGCGCGCAAACCCTTTGCGTGCTCGGCGGCGAAGTGGGTGGGCGGTGGAACGCAGATGCAGTGCAGCTGGTCAGGTGCCTTGTCGCCCTCCGCGCGCACAGAGTTCCCTTAGCAATGCGAGCCCCTACGAAAGCGGCGTTCATGGACCTCGCTGGCCCGGAATGGCCGCGCCGCCTGCCGCTGCGCTGAACCGGCCCTATGCGTCTAACCAGGAACCGGATTTGCTCTGTGCGAGCCCTTTGCACTCCCCCTCGCGCACACTCTGGTACGGACTGTTTTGTTTTTCTTGCTGCAAGCGGGAAACCACACCGACATTGGTGGCCGTCGGCGGTAGGCGGCTTGGCGAGGGGAGCGACCTCCCAGTGCTCGTCGGAAAGGACCTCGCTGAGATCCGGCGTCAAGCCATCAACGTTGGCAATGAAGCGGGCCTTCTCCCGGCGCGCGGCATCACAGGTGAAGTCACCGTACTGTTAACCATCATTGCTGCCCATCTCGCAGCAAACTATGGCACCACCCAGACAGCACCCAAGCTGAGGTATTTGGGATGCCCGCAATTCTGTCCATCATTGGCGCACTTCATGTAGCTGCGGTTGTGGTCAGAAGGCTGAGCTTTCACGAACAATGGAAGTGGACACCCGTGTGCTATGGACATCTATGGACAGGTGGGCCAAAGTTCAGCCTGGGATGACATTCAACGAAAAGACGAAGCGACTGCACGTGACGGCAGAGCCGCGACTTCAGCATGGCAGGCAGCACTGGCACGCATGCTACCAGCGACCTCCCGCGCCCAAGAGCCTTTCTGGCCCAAAGTATAACGAAAGACTCGTGCAGCAAGACCCCATGCAAGGCTGCCAGCAGGATTCGCAGAGCATCAACGCCCAAACAAACTGAACAGGCTTTTCAACACTTCGTGGCGAAAGGGGGTCCAACCTAACTTACCTAACACGGCCGCGCCGGGCAATAAGCGACGGCCCCACTGGCGAGTTTCTTGTCAAGAAAGGCCACAAAGCGGGCACCGATAAACTGACATCCGTACAAAGACGGCATATGAATGGAACAAGCTACACCGAAAACCTGGGTGCAATTGGCGATTCTCCGCCCACACCAGGAACGGATGAAATTTGCGGTTACTGTTTGCAGAAACACGTTCACCGCGTTTGCTCCACGTCCGCGAAGATTGGAAGACGACGCCCAAGCAACAATACTCCGAAACCACGGGCACGGGGTTTCATGAGGGGTGAAGCTGAAGTTATGTGTCCACAACCCACAACCAAGACAGCGGTCTTGTCGGGCCCAACCCCAAAGGAGAATCTCCAACGGGCGCCCCACGCCCCAATGGCATCTAACGCACGTTGCCAACACTGGCAAATCGTCAGCATACAGCGTCATACAACAACAGCGTGACGCTGGGTGAGCCGGAGCCACCAAGGGTCACACCAGGGCAAGCCCCGCGCACAGTCGTAGAGATGCTGTTGAACAAAATCGAGTCTTGTCATTGTATGCCTGCCGCTACGTGTGAGGGCGGCGAAAACCCGACGAATCCCTGCTTCTGAGGGCAAAGCGGGAACGAGCCTACAAGCAAAGAGTGCTTTAGGTCTTTCTGGCAGGCGCAAAGTGGCGTGAAGGCAATCGTAAACAGAAAAGGGCCAAGCACACTTCCCTGGCGAACGCCTGCTGTTTCAAACCATGGTTGCCAGGGCAAACTATTCACCACAACCCCAGCTGAAGTGTTTGTGAAGAGGTCATCCAAAACCCTCCATATGGAGCCCTTTATGCCTGACGCCGCAAGCTTCACCCAAACAGCATTCCTCCAGGCTACGTCGAAAGCTTTACGGACATCCACGAACGCACAAAATGTACGTTTGCGCGCTCAAGCAGAGGGTTTCAGCCAGGGTCTTTACTTGTTTTTCGGCTCCCATCGAAAGCCCGCTTGCGTGTCATCAATCTGCGGTGTTGTTCAGGGTGGTTGCACAAACTTGGCACTGTCTGGTTGTTTGGACCGCTGTTGTGGCGCAACATGGATTTTTTTTGCCTAACGGCAAAATGGGGGTGCGAAGCACTCTCCCGCTTTGTTTACTGGCAAACCTTTCACTCGGAAGCTGGAACCAATCTGAAGTTTCAACCTAAACCCCAAACTCTGAAACTCCAACACTACCAGTTCCATTTTTACAACGACGATGACTTCGACTGCGACTACGACCACTACTACGACTACCACTAACTACTACTGCTGCTCCGGCGAACACTGCTGCTTCTGCTCCTCCTTCTACTTCTACTTCTACTTCTACTTCTACTTCTACTTCTACTTCTACTTCTACTTCTACTTCTACTTCTACTTCTACTTCTACTTCTACTTCTACTTCTACTTCTACTTCTACTTCTACTTCTACTTCTACTTCTACTTCTACTTCTACTACTTCTACTTCTACTTCTACTTCTACTTTACTTATACTTCTACTTCTACTTCTACTTCTACTTCTACTTCTACTTCTACTTCTACTTCTACTTACTTACTACTTCTACTTCTACTACTTCTACTTCTACTTCTACTTCTACTTCTACTTCTACTTCTACTTCTACTTCTACTTCTACTTCTACTTCTACTTCTACTACTACTACTACTACTACTACTACTACTACTACTACTACTACTACTACTACTACTACTACTACTACTACTACTACCACTACTACGGGGAGATGGGGTGTCCTGCCCGCGCCGTTTCGGGAAGCCTTGGGTCTACCTCCTTTGGGGTGCGCAGGCGCGTACTTTCCGGGCTCTGTGCGTTCCCGGACTCACCAATGCACGCGGCGAACTCTGGAATTGGATGTTGAACATGTGTCCGTTTGGTTATCTTGAAGCTGCTATTCCCCTTAGAACGGTGGTTTTTTCAGCGTTTCATGCCTGAAAAACCTGTCGGTGCAAAAACGCCTTTTTTTTCACGCGTCGTCCACTCAGCCCCGCTTCCAGACCCAGCCAATACTGTTGATAAGGTACGCCTGGGTCGGCGACAGCTTCTCGCCTGTACGCGGCATGCGCCCGCAAGACACTTGCCATGCCAAGGGATCGCAGAAGTGCTGCTGCGCTAAGAGCTCGCACAGAAGACAGGGTTTCCCTGCCTGCCTTGGATCCGCCCGATCTCCTGCAGGTCGAGAAACCGTAAACCCTAAACCCTAAGCCCTAAATCCTAAAAACCCAAACCCTAACCCCTCTGCCACGAACGTACGATAGCAAGAAAAGAACACAAGGCAAGCGCATCCTTGGAATCAGACTTGCCGATGCCTCAGAGAAGGGAAAGGAAATGTCTGCAAGGAATAGAGTTCATTACCCCACCCATGACAGACCGAAGCAGAACTTGAGCAACACAAACAAAGTTCGATAAATAATTTAGGAGCACACCACATCGCTCCGGTCATCATCAACATGATCCAAAGTAAGAAGTGGCCTGCACGGAGTAAACTAATACCGGACAGCTTTTTGGCCGCCCATACGAAAACATGACTGTGCAAATGTGAACCAAGAAGCCCAGATGGACCTGCTGCAAAAGAACTGCCCTACAAGTGAGACGACCTGGTAATACAGGTTTTTTGCTACGGCCCGCCCCGAGAGCCCATTTTCTTGTAACGAGGTCTTGAATGTTCTTCTGGCCAGTGCCGGTGAGACGAGTGCCCCAAAGCCTGGGGTGGGTGGGTGTGGAAAAACTTGACTTTCTCGCTAGCAAGCACCACTCTAGAGCCAAAATGACGCACGAACATAGTTTATAAAACATACATGAACAAGTACATGATACGTTCTATAAACTAGTTGTGCTTGCTAGCGGTATAGCCGGAGGCTTCAAAAGGCTGCGAGCTTCGCTCCACGCTTTGTTTTCTCAGGAGTGCCGGAAATCCTCACCAACGTCCACTCGAGGAAAAAGCTGACGATGCACAAAGAAGGTTGATGGGTGGGACCATATTACCCCAAACCAAACTACCCAGCAACCTCGCTCCAGAAAAAACCCCAAACCTATGTGAGGTTGTTCGGCACTCCCCTGCTCCGCACAGACCATGGAAGGTGAGCCCCTTCGGGGAAGACAGAAATTTGTGGACGAGGCAACCAAAGGGCCTCGAGTGACAGCCGCACTCTGTCCTTTTCAAGGCAATCAGGGGGAATCTCATATTCAGCAGGACGAGACAAGGCATCAGCCTTAACGTTGCGTTCCCCGGAAATGTGTGACACATCCAGCGTTGTTCTATGTACAGCTGCCAGCAAAGAGATCCTTTCTAGGAAAAAACATAGAGGCCGAGCGGTGGAGAAGGAAGCGTTCACACCTGCTTCTGCACCTGTGTTGTCTGATGCGGAACGTAGCTGCAAGGGGATTCTGGCGCAAGGTAAAAGAGAAGATGTTGCCAAGATCAGCGCTCCCTGGGCGAGCCCTTCATAGCAAGCAATATCAAGCTGCATGTCTGCTTGCACGGGAATCTCAAGGGCCCGGAAGGCACTGTAGGGAAAACTTTCGCGAAACCAACGCTGGCCTATCATGGGGTGAGAAACGTACCCACCAATGCAGCACATCGAGCCATGTGCACTTGCATCTGCTCTTGCCTCAAAGGATGCATTGCCTAAGGGGCGCATGCTGCAGAATGGGCACATATGCAAAAGCCAGTGTTCAAACAAACCCAAAATGCGCACTGACTCGGGGCTCAACTTGCGCTTTGAACTTGATTGACTTGACACGCGCATCCAAACCCGCCTGTCTGTAATGCGCACTCGATCCAAGTCAGACAAAGTTGACAAATCCTGATGACGAACTGACAAAAGTGTGCTGTGGAGCGGAAATGCTGTACCTGGAGGGACCGATTTGAACTGCAGGGATTCCGTCAAGTGATAACGAAGCTGTGGCCAAACATCTGGGGCCACCGAGTAGTTGGTAGCAGCCGGGCTAAAAAGATCATGATAGAAGGTGTACAAAAGCGACTTCATTGTCGGGAAAAGGTGCGCAGCCCAAAGAGCGAGCCCGACAAACCTCTCCAGATCCTTGCGTGAAATTTTTGGATTACGCTGAAGATCTTGAACCATCCCCAAAAGTTTTAACCGTTTCTCCTCTGCAAGCGAAACTACCCCGGAGGTGTAACAAAAACACCACCCTATCCAATGAACTCGAGAGCTGACTTGAAGTTTCTTCCAACTCAAAGGTACCCCCAGAACCTGGAGGAAGAGGCAAATCATTGCCCCTGTTGCTGGCAAGACGCTTTCCGCCTGAGAAAACAAGTAGTCGACCACAAACAAGTGGCCTGCATGGCTGAACTAAATCAAGATATGCAACAACCGAAGGAGTAAGCGCCCCCACCAATGCTGTGCAAAGACCGCCCCGAATGGGGCCACGCGATAGAAGTACAGGGAATCTGCAAAAGCTAGGAGACCCTGCTCTGACTCCTTGACGACACAGCGTTTGTGAGCACTTTTGACGTCAAGAGATATGGCAGCCTGCCGCGAGCGAGTGCCCCGCAGGGGAAAACAGTGCATCACGTCCCTGACTGATGGCATGTGCTGGACTTCCGGAACGCTGCAACTTGCATTCGTGCCACAAACTGAATTATCTAAGACCAACCTTTCCGATCGATTTGGCGCACGGACCACTGATAGCTTCCCTATCGCCAGTGCACCCGGCCATTTTGCTTTAGCTGCTTCAATATCGCCATCAAACTTGAAGCAAAAGCCCTCGTCAATTTCCTCCTGCAGCAAAGCCTGAGTCACTAACGGATCAACTGAGGCCGAGCGCCAATTCTGCATGTGGATGGAAAGTGATACATCTTCCAAGTTCTCTTTTTGGTTCGGCCAAAAACAATTTGACACCGGGATATCGTTGTTATACCCTGTGGGGACGCCTTGCAAAAGGGATTTGCAAAGACTCACATCCGGATCACCACAAAAACAGGCAAGTGCCTCAAGCGCATGCAGATGCAAAGTTTGATGCTCACGGACCTCCCATGTATTTGCATCCGTCGCCACACCTAGGCAGGAGAAGAAGTCTTTGCGCGCATCTTGCACCTCCAGCTCGGAGAAAAGGGGTTCAGGATTAGGCCTGGCTTTAGCAAGCAGGCGTTTGGGGCCCTGCATGTCGCAAACTTTCCCCAAAAGGTATGTCCTAAGATTTTTTAGCTTATCTTGGCTTAATGGAGTACTCCAATCCCCACAAGAGTGGCGACCTGCCCCATCGTGGATCACCCACGGTCCAACGTCCAGGGCCTTGACAGGTACCAACGCCGACGCTGTGGCAAGGGTGTGTTCAATCTGTGCACCTGCAAGAAGCGGCCTGATGTGCAACGCGAATTCGGCGGCCAGGCATTGAGGGTACTTAGCAGTCTTACGGCTTCTGAACGAACCATCACTCTCACGTCCTTGCACGGACTCGTGTGCATTGCGTCCGTGTTGGCACGTCTGCCCCATCACGGACAGGGCTTGAAAGCTCGATGCAAACAGCCAGGTTTTTGCCAAGTTCTCCCCAAATGCACAGGCTGGGAGAACAATGAGAGCTGTGGACCCACAGTGCAACCAGCCTTGAACGCACGCTTCATCCCAGGACATGGCACCTGATGGTTGCTCCAAATGGCCATGGCCCCCGGCCCCATGGACTACTTGAAGACATTTGCATGCCCTGAAAAGCATCTCGTGACTTGTTTGTATACGAGCCTGAGCTGATGGGGGCAAATTCTCCAGGCCCCCTAGGCCCTAGCTGGGTTGGGGTGCGAATGGCAAAAGGCGGACCTCCAAAGAGCTTCAGTCGGGAGTATTCTGAGCAGCAGGGAGATGCCGCGCAATACCCCACAACCCCTTAGCCACAGATGAACAAGAGTTGCTCGAAAAAAGCGTTATCGAGAATGTCCATGCTGCTATCCAACAGGATATCAACTGCAAGTGTTGGGAAACCTAACTCCTGCACAGCTGATGACAGAGGCTTCTCCGCGCCCGAACAAATGTCCAGAAAGATCCTTGAAGACTGCTGCAGCGCTGAGTGATCTATGGCAGGCAAAGATGGTGGTGGCCGAGGCGTTTGGGGCTGCAGAATCAAGCTGTGGTTAACGAACCCTTTTGGAGAAGGCTTTCCCCAATTGACCCCCGAAGAAAGAAATGGCTCCTGGGTGGGGGAGCAATTTACAGGTTTAGGGGTCGGTGCCGGGGGCATGTCCCGTGGCTGGGGCCAAGGGAACCCCAGATCTCGAAGTGTATCACCTGACACACCTGGGAGGGTAAAGGCCGTCAGCACCCATCGATCACCAAGCCATGGTTGGGTGCAATGCCATAGGTGCACCGGGAACTTAAATGGTTCATGATGCGTTTTGACAATCTTCCCCATGAGAGTCACCCCAAGCTTGGGAATGAACTGAGACACAGTGCCTGCTTGATCCTCTACCCAAAGACCTCCATCCGAGTACGAACCTAACCCACTGTCAAGTTTGACGACCCCGGCAAATTTGCTGTGTCCTTGTGCGGGGACGTCAGGATGTTCCTGCTGACACACAAGGCATTCCAGGTCTCACCTGGGAACAGTTGGCACAGGGAACCATTAAGGCTTGCGCACAATTGTGGAAGTGCATCCGTAACTGATGAGCGGGCAGAAGGATTCCCTACGCGCTCCCCAAAGTTCCAGTACCCTGATTCCCCCGGAGCCGCTGAGGTAACGCTCCTGGCAGGAAGCACCCGTGGAGGCCAAGAGGCTGAAAGCAACGCCTGAAGACAGGACGGGAAGTCGTGTATACATGAAGAACTTTCTTCTGCAACATGTGTAACACCCACCTGCCGGGTGTTACCGCACCACTGGAACGACCAGGTGTGTTGCTCACGACATGACCCAACACGGGTCGTGGGGGGATGTTGCCCCGAGGGCATTGCATTGCTGGCGACGACACGGGCCCAGCATTTTGCTCCAACAAGGAGGCCGACTTTTGCAAACTTTCCTGTTGGGTTCTCAGCTGAAGAGCCCCAGGCTGAATTGTAGGTTTTTCAGGAAAAACCCGAGATTCCGCCCAAGGCGAAATTGTCTGATTTTCAGGGAAATCACGAGATTCAGCTTCTGCCTTCAAGATCAACCCCTGAGATCCATCCAGGCAAGTTAGCACCGACTTTGGAGTGACATGTACGGGCTCGGATGGCCGAGCTGCAGGCTGGATATCATATCCAGCGACACGGCTTGCACCTGCCTGGTGCTTTGCTGCATTAGGCTGTAAGGGTGACACTGACATACAAGGCGATGAAGGGTTTGAATGAACTGGCTCAGCATAAGCGTGCACAGAAAGCGGGGCAGCTGGGGGTGATACTTCTGTAAACGGCACATCTGAATTCGGGGATTGCTGCAACGGCCCAGGGATTGGGGCGAATCAGTGAGGCATCTGCTCATGCTGCGAGGCTGTGTGCGACTTGCTCCCGCACGCTGATCCATCCTGCTTGGGGTATGCACATGCATGAACAAAGGGGCAGGAGCCCCCCTTGTGCAACGTCCAATCTGCCACTGGACACACAACCCTTTCTTCTCAGATCCTACCTGGATCTCTTTCACGAAGGTAATGTGCCTCCCTGGAGCGCCCTTGGGCTTACCGCCCTTTTCCTTGCCACGGCCCTTGCCCAGGCCTTTCCACTGACCGACCTGCTTGCCCTTGCCTTTCAGATCAGGGCCGCGGGGGATGAACAAGGCTTTCGGACGAGCCTGCAGCAAGGTGCTGAGCTCACCTCTAATCTCTGTGAACTCATGCAACGCGTCATTCAAGCTCCAGGCTTTCTCACTGACCAAAGAGTGGATGCTCTGCCAAATCCGACAATCTGCCTGTTGCGCTTCTAGAATTGTCGGTGCACGCAGTCCTGACGCTGGATCAAAACGCTGGGACACAAGCTGGACAAACTTGCAGCTATAGGCTTTGAGGCGGGCAAGGTGAGCAGAGCCAACCATAGCTAACGCAACATCATGCACAGCCAAGATCCGTTGGATACCACTGATCCCCATATTGGCATCGGTCACTTCGATTGTAGGCGGATCATCTAGAAGCAAGCTGGAAAGACCCAGCATTTCGAGCTTGGGCTGTTTGTGGGGTCGGGCAATCAACAACTCCGAAGCTTTCTCTTCCGTCATGCGATGTTTCCAAGCTATCCATTTATACTCCGACCGTGCCTCTTGATGGGCTGCTCCCAGCCCGGTGGCAGGCAAAAGCTTCACCCTGCTGGGTTCTCTCCGGCTTTCGGGGGAGCCTGGACCGGGGTGGATTCTGGATTTCAGCCCGCCGGACACAGTTTCAGGAGCTCTGGGTTCAGGGATGTTGGGCAAGTTGGGTTGGCGGGGGACCCTTTCATATTCAAGCTAGCTGGAGGAAGCAAGCTTCGAGGGCTGGGCGGCTTTCAGAGGGAAAAGCGAGTAGCTCAGAAACATGATGAAACAGGGTCTTCGAGAAGCAATGCAGAAAATGTGCAGCTGCACAATTCGCATGAAGCAGCATTCAGACATGCCTGGAGAATGCAATGAAACGCGCTTGTTGCGCGAGAGCTTCAAACTCAACGATGTTAGCAGCAATTAGGGGCTTGGAGGTGTTCCCTAGATCACTGCAGGGTCCTTGGGTCGGAGCCAATCTTTCTCCTCAGGCTTTTTGAAATTTGGGGTTCAGGCTTGTGAAACCCGGCAGAGCTCGCGGGGTCAAAAGGCTTTTAGAACGAGGCCGAGGGGCTCAGCAAACTTGCAAGAGAAGCATTCCTGGACCAACTTTGCTAGTCAACGCCAAGGTGACCGCCTTTTGGCCAAGCTGCAGGAGGGCGCTTCTCCTTACTTGGTCGGCGCACGGCGCCCAGAGAGGGCGGGGCCTCCGGGGTACACATCACACGTTGTGGCCCAAGGTGGCACTAGACTGAAACAGATGAAGATGAGGTTCGAGGGAAATCAGCCTCAAAGAGGGTAGAGTAGATGGATTCAAGACCTCGCTTGGGTAATTTGCTAGGAATTGGCGCTTCATATCGGACAGCTTCGTGGATGCAATTTTTGGAGCAAAACTCTCTACCCATGTCTCCAAAGTAGGATCTGCGTTGACTGGGGTCGGCGAAACACTAGAAGAACTGGAAGCTTGCATGCCCGCCCACGCTGCTTTGATTTGGGCAATCTGCAAACGGGACAAGACGTGGCCTGGGAAGATCTCAGGGATGGCTCCCTCAACCTCTGCCTGGGTTTCAACGACATGCTTGAACGCCGAGGCCGTCCAGCCCCCATCTATGGCCACCTTGATGACCTCTGCTGCCAGACCTTCCTTTGCCAGTGCACTCTCCAACTCGGAATCAGCCATGGTGAGCAAAAATAACGCAGGGCTAGTGTTGGTACTCAGCACTAAAACAATGCTTGTTACGCGATAGCATAAGTGGCTTTGTACTGTGGCTAGAAACAGCATGCAACGCAACATGGCGAAGATGTACCCAGCTACTCAAGCGTCCCAATAAAGAAAATGAAACTTCAGAGACACAACGAATCTAAACAACTTGCCCCTGTGGTTTTGCTAGACCAAACAAGTCCCTGCCTGCAGATATGTCGAGAATCATGCCAAAATCATGCCAGCAATCGACCCATGGGGAACATGTACAGCATGACATCTTGCCGGGTAACTGATGCCTACCCAGAGCACACGAACGCACTTTTCTGAAACGGACATCGAAGCTCATGCCTCTGAGAAGCTAGATATATAAAGCTGCCAAGCAAGCTGTTGAAAAACGTGGTAAACATCATGGCTCACTTTTCCTACCACGCTCTAAAGGCAAAACAACTTTTCTCGCTTTCGACTCTTGAGCCTAAGCCTCCGGTGTCAAACTCGTTCTGCTCAGACTCAACATGCCTTAGGGCATTTGGTGTCTTTCCTACTGCACCCATTCACTGTACCTGGATACATGCTGTACACTTAACACCCCGCCTCGGAACAGATCGAAGGCTTTAGGGCGTTCTCTTTCCTGCAGTGATTCTCACTGCTGTGCCAAAAGACGAAGAGCTGTTTCGGACTTCAAGTGTACTGAACTGGGGACATTCGTCTCCTCTAGTCCAAGGTCTTTTACCCAGTTCTTTCTGCTTTGTTTCTTGAAACATGCATAAACTCCTAACCTCGAATTTCTAGTTACACGGGCTTGTCTTAGAGTCCTCATCTTGTGAGTCTCAGCCCTGTGGCCAGCCTATGGCTCTTGTGTGGTCTTCTCTTTTACCTAACCATCTTCTTTCTTCAACTGTTCTTGCCTCTACCTGGCTGCACCTTACACTCCTAGTCCTGCTTCGTGAAACTCTTCGTGAAACTACTTTCTTCTTGGTGAAACTCGTGTGAATATCACAAGGCGTATTGGGGTCCTTGCTTATTCAAAAACATTCGTTGTACCTACTTTGTACTTCGTGCAATGTTCGGGGTGCTCGAACTTCTATGTACACAGCTTCAGAAAATCTATACATGCTTCACGCTGCGTTCAGTCGTCACCCTTCTCGATGCTTCTTGCTGGCTTCTTCTTCTTACCAGCCTTTCTTGCCACCACCACCATACTTCCATTTCCCTTTGCCTTGGTACTTCCCTTTTGGGGCGTAGTGGTAGTAGGCGTAGTCTGGCTCCCAGTAGTTCTGGCTCCAACCGTCGTCGGCGTACCAGTCCTGCTGCTGGTGCCAACTTTCTTGCTGCCAGTCTTCTTGCTCTCGACTTCTTCTTCCTCGCTTTCCTTCTTGCTGCACCTCAGGCTCATCTCTCTCTCTTCTTATTTCTGTGGGGCTCTCCCACCTTCCTGTCTTCTTGAAGTGCTTCGTCACGAGGTTCCAGTCTTCGGCACCTTTGATTCGCGCTCCTTTCACCTGCGCTGATCCTTTCTGATCAAGCCGAACTGCTCGATACTCATTCGTGTCTTTGCAATACTCCCAGATCCAACCACAATCTGTGAACGTGACCACATTCCATCTGCCCTTTGCGTTCTTGCTACCTTTCTCTCCTCTCTGCGGTGGTTCTCGGTACTGCTCTTCTTCTTTCTCCTTTCTCTCTTCTTCTGTTCCTGCTGCTCCTCCTTCTTCTTTTCCTTCTTCGCTCGACTCTGCAACGTCGGGCGGTGGCGTGTATCCTTTCTTTGTCCACCAATTTGGATCATACCACTGGCCTTTGATCCTGACCCACAATGCTCCTTTGTGGATCTGCCACACATTGCCTTCTGCATCCTTCTTTCCTTCTGCTCCTAGTGTGGGCTTTTCATCTTCAGATCCTGAATCTTCAACTTCAACGACTTCAATCTCCTTCATTCTTGCTCTTTCCTTCTCTGCCTCAATCTCCGCTTGTGTCTTTCGTTCCTGTGCTTCCTTCAACTCCTTCTTTGCCTTCTCCTTCTCTTCCTTCGTCGCTTCTTGGGCTTCCTGCTCCTTTCTTCTCATCTCCTCATAGGCCTCTAGCTTTGCTCTTTGCTTCTTCGCCTTCTCCTTCGCGATTGCCTCGTTCCTTTCATCTTCCTTCTCCTGTGCTTCCTTCTCCTCTTGTGCTTTCCTTTCCTGTGCTTCCTTCTCCTCTTGTGCTTTCCTCTCTTGTGCTGCCTTCTCTTCTTGTGCTTTCCTCTCTTGTGCTGCCTTCTCCTGGGCGTCTTTCTCCTCCTGGGCCTTCTTTGCCTGCTCCTTTTGTCTCATTGCTTCGGCTTTCTTGTCTGTCTCCTCTTTCCTCCTTTGTCGTTCTGCTGCTTCAATCTTCTCCTCGTTGGCTTTCCTGATCTCTGCATTGATCCTGTCTTCCTCCTCTCTTCTTTGTTCTGCTGCTTCTAGCTCTTCTGCTTCTCTCTTTCTCTCGTCTGCTTCTTTCTTCATGTGCTTCGTGATCATGTCGTAGTCCTTCTTCAACTGCTCTCTCACCTCTTTGGCATCTTGCTTGTACGCTTCTTTCTGCTTCTCTAACTCTTCCTTCTCTTTCTCCAAAGCTTTCTTCTCTGCTTCAGCTTCACTGAACTTCGCAACCACCTTCGCCTTCATAACAAATGCTTGGTCACGATCTTCTTCTGCTTCCTTCGCCTTCTCTTCTGCTTCTTCTCTCTTCAACTTTTCTTTCTCCAAGGCACGTTCTTGCTTCTCCATCTTCGCGATCAGCTCGTCGAACTTCATCTTCACGGTCTCGTCGTCTTCGAGGACACCTTGCGAGCTCTTCTCTTTGTCTTCTTCTTCTTTCTTCTTTGTGACTTCACCTTCAGGCTTCTTTTCTTTGGGCTTCTCTTCTTTCTCACCCTTCTTCTCTTTCTTCTGGTTCACTGCCAAGTAGACAATGATTGTCACCAGAACAACAATCACAGCCATGCACACGGGCACGAACATCTCAAGCTCAGGCATGCTCGTGAAAACGTGTGAAAACTTCATGCTGCTGTTGCTGCTTTGACCATGTAAAACTTCTTGTTCACCTTCTTGAAGTTCTTGAGGTGGCTCTTGAGCTGTAGAAAACGGACCAAACACAGAACTCATCAACTGCATGCAAAAATATCTTCGTGCTACAAAATCTCCTTCTTGCTGACCTGCAGATTCAACTGCAAAACCAAAAGCTGACAATAACGTCAAACCAAGTCTGCTTCCGGATACCTTTGTCAATCTTCTGACTGTAGCTGTGCTTTCTGCGGCCATTCGTTCTTCACGACCGATTGCTTCTCGATCATCATGAACTTGAAGGATGTTCAAAAGTAGCTTCATTCTCGATGCGTTGAGGGGCTTGGTCCCTAAGTCGGCAGGGTTGAAAACAGTGCTCACTGCCTTCACGCTGCATAGGCCGTTTCTGGTAACTTCTTGCAACCAGAGCATTCTCGTTGCTAAGTGCTTGATACGACCAACACCTTGCCGGTGCACAATGCCACGTGCTGCACTGCTGTCTGTGTACGCCTTCATTCGCGCTGCTTTGCCAGAAAGGAACTCTACGGCTTCTCGAATGCCAATTCCTTCTGCGACAGCACCAGTGAGTGCGTAGTACTCGGACTCGCCACTGGAAAGTGCCACAGTTTTCTGCGTTCTTGAGTAAGAAAACGCATACTGGCCGTCCAGGAAGATGACTCCTCCTGATACAGATTTCCGGCTGCTCTTGTTGCCGGCCCAGTCGGCGTCAGAAAATACTTCGACCAGGTGACTGCCACTCTCGATGCTCTTCTCGTTCTCATTCTCGGAATCTTGCTCCAAATTCTTGCTTCTTTGCAAGGTTGCCGTTCCAGGTCTCCCTGCTGTGTAGCAAACCGCATAGCCTGCAGTCTTCTTCAGATACAACGCGCAATGCTCGAGCTCTTTCTGCTTCTTCTGCGTAGGAGCCTTCATTCCAGTCGCCAAATTTCGGACTGCATACTGGATGTCAGGACGATCTTGGGCAAGATATAGCAGTATACCGACACAACTTCGGTACACATTCTTCTTGTTCTCGTCCAGCTCTTTTGTCTCATCGGTGTTCTGCACATTTCCTGCTGCAGGGGTAGCTTTCTCTCTTCTCGATCCAAGGCGTAGCTTTTCAAGGAGCTTGGTGACATACTTGGTGTCAGGGCGGACAAACAACTTTCCGTCTTCATAGCTATACCTTCTCTTGAGAAAACGCACAGACTGCTTGGAAAATCCATTGCGATAATCTTCTTCTGTCAGAAAAGGTCCTTCTACTTGTAGCTTCACCTTCTTCGCTAAAGCTTCGAGGACGGGCTTCACCACTGCTGCTTTTCCTGCTACTTGAAGGTCATCGACATGTACGATGCAAACGGATACGACCTTGCCGTTCTTGATCAAGCGAAACAACGCTGGGTTCGCGATGCTTTTCTCATAGCCTTCTTGTTGCAAAAGTTCTGCACAAAATTCGCTCCACAGAAGACTAGCATCTCTTTGTCCAGGAAGGACACGACCAAGACGCCAGCATTTGGCTTCCATTCCGTGTACTGCTTGACTTCCTTTTCCTCGTGGAATCTTGCAGTGTACAGGTCTCTTCTGGGGAACCTGCAAAAATGCATCTTTGATGTCAAGCGACCAAATACTCCATCGATTTGCCAATGCCAAAATTGGAATCAGCTTCGTCAACGACGGAGAGGTAGCTGGGCTGAAAACATCTTCTCGCTTCGAGTTGTTATATTCTCTTGCTACCAGCCTTGCTCTTCTCTGCCAGCATCTTCGTGGCTTCAGGGCTTCATGAGGAACTTCTTGTTGCCCTTCAGGGATCTCGTTCTCGCAGATGACGTTTTCTGACTCCCGAAATCTCCAGTCGAAAACCAGCTTTGTTGTCAACCAAACAACTTCTTTGTTCTCTTCTTGCTCCATGGGCACCTCTTCTATGACACCCATCTTTGTCAATCTGGAAACTTC